TCTTTCCATCTGTCTTTCTTTCTGTGTCTTTCTTCCTCTCTCTGTCCTTTCCTTTCCTTCCCCTTCCCTTCCCTCCTTCCTGTCTTCCATCCTTCCTCCCTCCCTTCCTTCCTTCCTCCTCACTCTGGTGCCCAGGCTGGAGTGCAGTGGTATGCTCATGGCTCCGCAGCCTTGACCTCCTGGGCTCAGGAAGTCCTTCCAACTTAACCTTCCAAGTCGTTGGAACTACAGTCATGTGCCACCATGCCTAGCTATCAATCTCTTCAAATATTTCTTTTACACTATTCTCTCCCTCTTTTGGGATTCTGGTTACACACATATTATATAATTTGATACCATCCCACAATTCTTGGATGCAATGTTCAGTTTTTATTTTCCTATGATGTTTCTCTTTATGTTTCATTTTGAGTGGTTTTTATTGACGTAGCTTTAGGTTCACTGATTCTTTCCTTAGCTGTAATGAGTGTACTAATAATGATGAGCTCATTACAGATATTCTTTATCTCTGTTACCATAATTTTTATTTCTCGCATTTCTATTTGGCATTATCATTTTTCTGTTGAAATTCCATGTTTGTTCATACCTCCTAGCTATATATTACACCAGAGCCTTTAACATATTAATCACAGTTATTTTAAACACCTTTTCTGATGGTTCCAGTATCCAGGTCATCTGAATCTGGCTCTGTTAATTGCTTTGTCTCTTGACAGTGAGTTTTTCTTGCTTTTTTGTGATAATTTTTGCCATTTTTTTTTCTGTGATTTGCCATAGGTGAGCCAGTGCTGCAGCCTGTCTCTCACTGCAGATGCCTGTATTTCCCCAGATTTTAAACTCTTGGTTGCTCTGCAACCGTAGGTTTGATGGATTCAAGAATAGTTACGGTTTTGTAGATTATTTGGCTTTTTCTTATTGTTAGGTACAAGCAACATTTTTTGTCCTAGTTTTCTTCCTCTTAGCCTAGACTTCTTGTATTTTCTGGTATATTTTAAAAATCTGAGCCTGATCTGTGACCTCCTCTAGCCCCTCTTAGATATCATCTAGACAGTGCTGATAGAATTATGTGGTTGAATTTTGTCATGATCTGTTCATATAGAAGTACACTTTACTACTAATAAAATACAATTTTGTAAAGATAGCTTAGTGATAGTTCTGCTTTCTAGAAGCAGTATAGATTCAGATTTATAAATTTACTTACTCTGTTGCTGCTAATAAATAGATATGTTAATAATGATATAGTAGCAGTCCCTCACATTTCTTGAGTGTTTACCATGTGGTGGGTCTTTATGCTAAGTGCGTTACAGGCAACGTTGTCTTGGCAGGGTCACCTTTTCTCCTGAGGAGACTGCTCCTTGTTGGAAATTGGGGTGGTTCTATGAAGCAGGTGCAGATGCGGCTTATCTCAGTACAGCTTCCTCTGTCCTCCAGAGTCTTGAGTAGTTGCTGATGACACTTTAGATTCAAGATAGATTCTTGCTGGATCTGGGAGACTTAATTCTTGCTGAGCCATAATCTTTTATACTCAGGGATTACGTTACTATTCAGGAAGAGTACAATGAACAAGTGATGCCCTTAATAAGACATAGTCACTTACATCCAGGACCCCTATAACTCTTGAGTTAGGCTCATTTGTGGGGCGAAGGCAGATCAAGAACCTGACACTCTCTGTCTGCAGTTTCCCAGCATCCCAAGAAGCTGATTTTCCCATAGCTGTTTCTTCCTTACTCTTTGAAGTAGCCTATGGGACAGATACTGTATCTGTGTCACATAGAGAAGAAATGGAGGATTAGAAGCATCGAGTAATTTGCCTATAGTCACACAACTTATAAATGAGCAGGAGCAGGATTCTAACCAGGCTGCATTTTCTGTTCTTCACCATGCTATAAATGTAGCTTCATTTGAACCTATACACACAAAACCCCATATTTAAAGGTCTGTGTTTCTAAATCAGTAGTGGAGCATTTTGCATTTAGCTTATTTTAACTTTGAAGAGAAAATGCTATCTTCAGATGAAAGTTTTATGTTTAGAAAAATAGACAGGGAAGCAACTTCCCAAGGCCTTGGATCATGTCTTATATCAATGGACCTTAAATGTCATGAAATAAAGCCTGAAAACTAGACTTGAACTTAAAACCATTAGGCCTTTTTACTTTCCCTAGCACCTACTTGCCCTTTCTTTTGGGTCTAAAAACAACTTGTCTGTATGACTGTATGTAAATTAACACCTGGACTATTTTTAGTAGTGAAGAACTAGAAAGTATCATGGCGTCAGAGTGAGCCTTTGTCAGTGGGGCTCTTTTGAAATTGATGGGAAACTCTTACATTCTTCCTGTCCAGTTGTAATTTCAAAACTTGTTAGCAAGAAGGGGTAGGTGAGGTATGCTAGAGAGTGGAAATGGTAGGAGGTGGTAATGCTTATTGGTAGTTGGTTTTTGGGTATAAATTTGTCAATCCTGTTGGTTGGTCAGGCTTTTGTGGTAGGTACTGGGGAGGACAAGCTACTTTCAACAGCAACAAACTTTCCCTTTGTCTGGTGGTAGTTCACAAGAGGGTCAAGTGAGAAAATGGGTGTGGATTAGACTCACCACCCTTATTAGAAAGATAACCCAGGAAGATATGTTAAGATTCAGAAATTACCTATGGGGTACAGTATTAACTATCTGGGGAATGGGCCAACTGGGAACGAATCCCACCACTCTATAATATGTCCATGCAATAAACATGAATGTGTACCTACCCCCTGAGTGTAAAATAAAAATGGAAAAGAAAAGAAAGCTAAAATCATAGCCTACTAATGGTGGGACATTGGTATCATGTTTACATTTTGAGACTGCCATTTAACATAGAGCCTGGTTAAAGTACTATATGGTATTTACTAACCTCATACGATTTAATGAAAAACATTTCCTTCTCTTTCAGAACAGCTAAGATGGAAACCCAATCTTGAGTTAAGTTCAGAGAATTTTCAAGTTATTTAAATATCTTTGTTTCTTTTTCAAGCTCCCAATTGAAGACTTATGCAGTTTAACATCCCAGTCACTGCCCGTTGAACTGACTTCAGTAGTGCCTGAATCTACAGAAGACATTCTCTTGAAGGGTTTCACTTCCTTAGGAATGGAAGAAGAAAGAATTGAAACTGCACAGCAGGTGAACTGCAGTATCTTTTCTAAGGATGTTTGATTATTTTATATGTTTCAAGATAAGACTAATAAAAAGGTCCTAATTAAAAGTTCTGAAGACTTGGCATTACAGTTAACATCAAGTCTTTGTAGAACATTCTTGAGTGTGTATTACTTGTAGCTATTTCTTAAGTGTTTTAAATGAATCTATTGCCCAATTATATTTGCAGTATAGATAGAAATATGATATTCCAAGTTTGGATGTTGATAGATTATTATACTTATTAAAGTTTTAATATTTTACATACTTTTGACTTCCCTCAATGTATGTCTATATTAACCTGTCCCCTCAACATGTGCGTGGGTTTCACTTGTTGCTAGGTAACGCTTTCTAAAAAAACCCTATATATTCTTTTTATATGAACCCTTTAGTTATTTTTCAGTAATTTAGCATGTATAAATTTCTCTAGGTTTTTGCTTATTCCTTATTAGAAACCTAAATATATGGCAGTCTATCCTGCTGCTTTCCTTGTCTCATCTTTCTTATCCTGTTAAGAGTCAAAGTGGAGGCATTTGCTGAGTAAAACATAAAGCAAATGTGTTGGACTGCATGTATAGTCTGTTGAGAGAGGCAATGCTGCAAACCACCAAGGAGCTGTAGCTCCTGAGTTGGGCTGACCTGCACATGAAGGGCAGCTTGTCATGTACCAGCTTTGTGAGCATAGGCATGTGACTGACCTCCTCACATCTTTAGTTCTTGATCTGTAAAACAAGGATACTTACATATTAACCTCACAGAATGTTTGTGAGAACTAAGTAAGATGATGCATGTAAATGCCGTATGTGGCAAGCGCACGAGAAATGCTCACTAAATGATAGTCAAGGCACATGGCAAGCCTGCACACTTCTGACATCAAATCCCACTTGAGAATCGTAAGAAGGTAAATGTGTACTGTGTCTGTGAACTTGGTTGGGCTGTTTGAAAGAAATAATCTTCTGGATGAAATTTTCATCTACATACATCCCTTAAAATTTTAAATAATCTTATATATTGAATTATAATTTGCATATAATAAAATGTACTCATTTTATTAAGTGTCAACTTGATGAGTTTTGACAAGTATATATGCCTGTATAACTACCACTGGGATCATGATATAAAACATTTCTATAACTCCCAAAATTTCCTTCATGCTCATTTAAATTTAGCTCCTCCTAACTCTTTTAATAGGTATTTTCTATTACATTGGTGGAAGGGCCAGAATTCAAACCTAGGTTTAGCTGATGCCAAAGTTCATGTTCTCAAACCACAATGTAGTATTATTTCTGAGTTTATAGTCTTACAGTTCTTATTAGCAGTGTTGACTGAGCAGTATATTGTGGCTTGTGCCTATAATCTCAGCTGTACTCAGGAGACTGAGGTGGGAGAATCACTTGAGGCCAGGAGTTTGAGACCAGTCTGGACAACATACTGAGATCCCTGTCTCTAAAAAAAATTTATTTTATTATCATTTTTTCATTCCTTCTATAACAAGGCTTATCTAAAAACTTTTTAAAAATTGCCTGGGTGTGGTAGTGGACACTTGTAGTCCCAGCTACTTGGGAGGCTGAGGCGGGAGAATTGCTTAAGCCCAGGAGTTTGAGGCCAGGCTAGGCAATGTAACAAGAGCCCCATCTTTACAAAAAAGTAAAAAAAATTAGCCATCATGGAGGCTCAGGAGGCTGAGGTGGAAGGATTACCTGAGCCAGGAGGTAGAGGCTCCAGTGAGCTGTGATTATGCTGCTGCACTCCAGCTTGAGTGACAGTGTGACTTCAACTCAAAACCATACCAAACCAAAACAAAATAAGATATTGACTGAAATTAGGGCTATTGAGGCAGAATTAATTTGCTAAAGGTTTACCGGAAGCCAAAAGTGAGGATAGACCTGGGAAGATGCACTAACAAAGTTGGCTATGTTCCAAAGTTCATTACAATGAGAATGCTTTCAAAGAGCGTTTAGGAGAATGGAGAAGGACTCCTTATACGGAATGTTCTTTTCATTGCAGGATACAATGTAGAGGTCACATTCATTGGCTACAGATTACCACATACAGGCTAAAATGGTCTATGTAAAAGGCAGTCAGTGTAAACTGTCACAATTCTGAAACCAGTCGGCAAAACTTCATGATTCAGAAACAAATCAGTGTCCTTTTCAGTGTCAGTAGGTTACATATTAATCAGTACATGAACAGTTTGAGGAACTGCACAAGATTTGAGAAACTCACGACAAGATTCTTTACTCAGGGACAGGATGTAAGCATGAATCATAAGACCTCCCCCAGTCAGGTTAATTTGTTACCTGTAGGCTATCAATACCATTAATATTGATATTTACCCAAAGCCCTATGTTACCTACTCAAATTTTGCAAACTAACAAGTAGGCATTAACCTTTTAGGAAGAAATACTCATTTTTTTACATATTGTATCTTTATTTTATTGTTGTTATGTTTTATTGAGTTGAAGTTTCACTCTGTCACCCAGATTGAAGTACAGTGGCACACTCAGGGCCACCACAGCCTCGACCTTCTGGGGCCCAAATGATCCTTCTGCCTCATCCTCCCGAGTAGCTGGGACTTCAGGCATGTGCCACCACACTCAATTAATTTTTCTTTTTTTTTTGAGTTGGAGTCTCACTCTGTCGCCCAGACCGGAGTGCAGTGGCATGCTCCCGGCCACCGCAGCCTTGACCTGCTGGGCTCTGGTGATCCTTCCACCTCAGCCTTCCAAGTAGCTGGAACTACAGACGCACACTACCACACCCGGCTAATTTTTTTGATTTATTGTAGAGATGAGGTCTTGCCAAGTTGCCTTGGCGGGTCTCGAACCCGTGGGCTCAGGCAATCCACTCACTTCAGCCTCCCAAAGCTCTGGGATTACGGGCTGAGCCACTGAGACCGGCTAATTTTTCATTTTTTTTTGTAAAGACCAGGTCTTGCTCTATTGCCCAGGCTGGTCTTGAACTCCTGGACTCAAGCTATCCTCCTGCCTTAGCCTCCCAAAGTGCTGGGATTACAGGGTGAACCATCACTCCTGGCTTGTATCTTTAATATTCTTCCATTTGACTCTGAAAATGGCCAGTGTTATTAAATATCCTATATAGACATTGTGTATATAATTAAATTGTCTTCCTTTTGCTTAAAACGATTAGTGTCTGAACCCTAACTAATAAGACTTAGTGTCTGCCCTTTTGTCTTGCTGTTTAACATGTAGCTACTTGTCATTCTGTCTTTTTTAGATTTGGTGACAATATAATACTATTTATTTTTCCAGTTTTTCTCATGGTTTGCAAAACTACAAACTCAGATGGATCAGGATGAAGGAACTAAATATAGGTATGTGTGACTCTTGTATTTGTTGCATATTCTCATTTTTAGATCACAGTCATCTGAAGCAGTTCATAATCTGTGTCTCTAAGTAAAATTAAGGTACAGACAAAATCCCCCAATAGCCACATATTCTTTAGGAATAGCCGGAGAGAAGGTTTGGGTCATTACAACTGGTATTAGAAATTGTGTAACTAAAAATAAAGAAGAGTTACATTATAATTAATAGGTTAAGAGGGACAGACACTGGTTTTTAGATAACTCCAGAAAGGATTAGGTTCAAGTAGGAGTTCGTAGGAATCCTAAGAGATGTTTGTGGCCTTTCTTTTTTTTTTTAATTTTAATTATTTATTTATTATTTTTATTTTTTAATTTAAAGATGTGGAGTACATTTCAGGGTTAGGTATATGAATGTTCATTATGCAGGTACCTTGTTGATGAGTTGTGCCTCTCCCTCCCCTGGCAGTTTCCCTCAACTGCCAGTTGCCTTTCTTTAGAGGTAGAAACATCCCCAACAGAGTTTAAGGGTGGTTACCTTGGGTGTACTTATGTAGTTCTGTTTGTGTATATTGAGAGCATAGCATGGCATGGAGGAAATGACAAGTGTACAGAGGCTGTGAATTGAGTGTTCATACTCAGTGTATTAATTTATTGATGGCTGTTATTGCTAGGTAATGTGGTGGGTTCTTTGACATATGGTCTCATTTAATCTTCATAACAGCTCTGTAGAGAAAGATAATATTATTCCCATTTTGCCAATGAGCAAACTAAGGCCTCGAAATATTAAGTTGCTTGACTGAATTACATGCAGACTAGGGCAGAGCTGGGACTTGGACCCAGGTCTTCTAATTTTAAATCCAGAATTCTTTCCATGATATCACACCATCTTTCAAAGGTGGAAGTGATCTGAAGGAGTGACCTTACTTGATATCTTGGCATGACTTTGGTGTTCCAGTCTTTGGAAGTTGAGCCAATGATTCATTGCCTTATATCTGAAAAGCCAGGTTGTAGCTTCAAGGTTAATTCCCTTTGTTGCTTATAGTATCAGTGATTTGCCTTCTTAAGTACTGAAACAGTTTATGACATGGCTTTTGGTATATTTCTAAATATCAGCTTTTGGGAGTAGGTCAGACCTTCCTCCTGAAATTCAAGCATTTTGGGAAAAATGAGACTTTACTGTTTATTGACTATGCTTACTGGGGGAAAATATTATTGTCAATCCCCTTTTGGTTCTGTTTTCTAGACAGATGAGGGATTACTTGTCTGGGTTTCAGGAGCAGTGTGATGCTATATTGAATGATGTAAACAATGCTCTTCAGCATCTGGAGTCTTTGCAGAAACAGTATCTTTTTGTGTCCAATAAGACAGGAACCTTACATGAAGCCTGTGAACAGCTCCTCAAAGAACAGGTAATTTGGAGTAGGACAGAGGGTGGGTGGCAATATTTAATATTTTATTTTTAAATAGATGAATATAATTTAATTGTAATTTTCCTAGTTTCTGCAAGTAGATGTTGAACACCGCTATGGGGCTCTATGCTAAGCATGTAGGTAGTTTCATTGACAGCCTCCCTTCATTCTAAATACGTGCATATGAGCAGGACAAATGCAGACTTTCCTGTGGTTGATCTGGTAGGTCACAGTACAGTTTCAGAGGGTAGTGAATATATTTGTTTAGTTTGTCTGCTCTTTATAATTGACTCTTCTCAAACAAGCATAGTGCTTATACTAATGGTGAGGTTTTGAAAGTATCAACTGATTGAGCTTGCACTTAAACTCATAACTCAGCTAGAATGTTTAAGTTACAATAGTTAACTTAGAATTTTCTCTATTTGTACTTTTGTGTGTTTTTAAAATATGTTCATTTTTTATTTTATACAAAGATCATGAAACTAATCATCATTGCCTATTTTTAGTTCACAGTTGCAGAAATAGTTGAACTTATCTGAAATCTTATGTTTGTTATAACTGTGTCTAATATAAATCTATACCGTATAATTTTGAGACTGGAGTATTGATTCTCATATTCTTATAATTGCTTTTTCTCTTTTAAAAAATGCAAGTCGGAACTTGTTGATCTGGCTGAAAACATTCAACAAAAGCTTTCCTATTTTAATGAATTGGAAACGATTAATACAGTAAGCATCATTTTTATGTTTTTTTGTAAAATTAGTCATTTTTTTGTTTGCTTTAAACTTATAAATTGGCTTGCATGATATTTTAACTTAGTTTGCTTGCTAATATTCCTATTTGTAGACATGGAGATACCATTATCAGTACAAATTTTTTCAAGTTTGATTTAAGTTGTATTTCTTAAATTGTACTATTGTTATTAAAGTCTCTGTTGGTTACCTCTTAATAGTCCTCTTATAGTTTCTTATTTGTAAGCTTTGAAGATTACATGAAAAATATTCAGTTTTAAATCTTGCTGTGGTCATGCTATTATAATGGTGAAAACACTTTTCAAACTAATTCTTATGTTTAGTTTGAAGAAAAGTATAGTCCTTATAATGTATACTTGTATCTCAAGATAATAGTCCCAATAAAGGTTATGGTGTAAATTATATTTATATATGTTTCTGACTCATAAATGATCATAGTAATTAAGTACAAATCATGTTATTAAAATTATTAAATTAATAATTATTATAGTTTATTAAAGACAGAAGTAAAACTAGGAGCCATTTAACAATGGAATGCAGTAGGAAGTAGTTCATTGCCAAGCTATTTGTAGATCAAGATAAGAAATTATTGGCTGGTAATATTTTATTTCCTGAGGCTAACTGCTGTGCATAGTATAGCATTTTGACCTCAAGAAAATCACTAGTGTTTGAAAGTTTAAAAATTGTGTATATTGAAAAATACTAGAAAGTGAGAAATGTAGGTACTTGATACATTATTTATTATTTTTTTTTTTTGAGTTGGAGTCTCATTGGGATGGAGTGTACTGAGTTTACAGGCATGAACCACTATGCCCGGCTGATACATTATTCAATATAACATTGTACAATAGAGTAACATAAATATTTCCCAATTCATGAAGAGTCCCATTAAAACTTATTAGGAGCAAACTGAATTAAATCAGTAGCCTTTTCTATTTGTCCCTCTTTATTGTTACATGTGGGCTACATTTGAAGGTATATTGGTGACTTAAAATGTAGCATAAAGACATTAGTGTAAAGATATTTCTACAGCGCAGTGTAAAGACATTAGTACATTTTCCTTAAAGGGAAATATGCTAATTCTAACCCATAGTTCTTTTACCTGTATCATTTTTTTGTGAATTAAGATTGATTTTTTTCTCTTAAAGAAATTGAATTCTCCTACGTTGTCTGTGAATAGTGAAGGATTTATACCTATGCTGGCCAAGTTAGATGATTGTATAACATATATCTCATCTCATGTAAGTTGTGGTATTTTTGTATGTTTTTAAAAAATTTTAAGATTCCTGTTATATCACTTCTTTTGCTATAAAATAATACTTTTTTTCTGAAGAGATAAGTATGTATTTGGAACACACTGAAGAAAAACTGTAGTGAATATTAGTCATTATCAGTAGTGTGGTAAAGTGCTTTTGGCATCTTAGGCATTCCCTGGAGTGGGAGGGGTCCTGACTGACTCAGCCTTATCCCACCTAACAGGAGGAGCTATTTTTAAGTTGTTGATATCCTGATGTGCTAAGTATTTCTTTGGGAACAAAAAATGTTACTGGGGGGAAATAAAGGGACAAGACCTTTGGTTTAATCATCCTCTGTGTCTATTTGCTCAGGATTTCTTGCTGAATTTATTTTTTCTAACTCCTTTTCTTAATTGGGTGTTAGATACTGACCTTGAAGTCGATGGGATGCTGAAAATATATTTTGCTAACAACTGCAAATCTTTATTGAGCCCCTACTTTGTGCCAGGCACAGGGGATTTGGCTATGACTAAGAAGTCACAGTATTCCTCTTCATAAAGGTTATGATCTACATAAACCCTTTTTTCGAACTTTATATGTTGCTTTATGTAAAGGACACCTTGGATTTCATTAAAAACTTGTTTTTTGTCAGTTTGTAAATCTTTCTCTTTTCCTTACAGCCTAATTTTAAAGATTATCCTGTATATTTGCTGAAGTTTAAGCAATGTCTTTCTAAAGCTTTGCACCTCATGAAGACATATACTGTGAACACACTACAGACCCTCACAAACCAGTTACTAAAAAGGGTGAGTTAACTGTTCTCAATAACAGATTGCTTTTTATTTTTGTTTCATTTATCTTTCATAATCTTTGGCTGAAAGTAGTATTTTGTATTAATTTTTTACATTTTGTTAAATAAGAGTATGCATTGCAGTTTTATTTATAATAAGGAGAAATGACTGTATTATAAATGTCCTTTGCAGTCTTGTTTTTTTTTTGAGTCAGAGTCTCACTCTGTTGCCCAGGCTGAAGTGTAGTCGCTCGCTCACGGCCATCCCAGCGTCCACCTGCTGGGCTCAGGCGATCATTCCATCTCAGCCTTCCAAGTAGCTGGAACTACAGGAGCGCACTACCGCACAGCTAATTTTTTGATACATTGTAGAGACGAGGTTCACCAAGTTGCCCAGTCTGGTCTCAGACCCCTGGGCTCAGGCAGTCCTCTCGCCTCGGCCTCCCAAAGTGCTGGGATTACAGGCTGAGCCACTGAGCCTGGCCCACAGTCTTGTTTTCAAATAATATTTAACCGTGTGAGAGTATCCAGTACTGTATAGTGAATAATAAAATAGGATGCAACGATTTGTCACTTAAAACATTTCTTTTTTATGAAAACGTTAGAAATAACGCACCAAAATAATGTTTAGTTTAGTTTTTTTTTTCTGACTGCATTCTTACCATCAAAATAATAAAAGTGGTCTGTGTAAGTGGCGGAATATGATGGATAATTTAAAATTTTTTTCTTTACTTTTAAAAATACTTTTCTGTATTTAGTGAACATGTTTTTATTGAGCAACTCCTAATGCTGGGTATTGTATTAGAAATTGTACAGTAGCAAAGAGGAGCTGGCAAGATCCCTGCCCTCATGGAGCTTATATTTAGGAGAAATTATCAGTAAAGAAAGAAACAAATAAATTAGTTAATTACTGATTGTAATAGATTTTAGGTGGAAAATTAACAGACTGTTAGGATAGAAAATAAGAGTAGAGCTAGCTAAGGTGGTCATTGAAAGTATTCCTTTCCTAAGAAAATAAAGCCAGAAAGGTTATGTTTTTATTTTTTAAGCTTACCGTCTAAAGAAACATGGAATGTCTTCTTGGACTTTCACTTCAAAACCAGCGATTTTGGGGTTGCATTTTTACTGTTCATATTGTTCTTAGCTGACATAACAATCAAACTACGAATTTTTCTATCTGCAAAATTTTCAATAAGCTTAGGAACCTAATATCTAATAATAAGTACTAGTACCTATTATGTGCAGGTGTTTTGTTGTTGAGCTGCACAAAACCTGTATGAGCATATATTATGGTAAATTAATGGATGCACTGAATCTCAGAGAAGTTATTTGGCCAATGTCCTGCACTAAGTGACAGAGTATAAATCTGAACTCAGGTCTGTTTATCACCAAAATTCAAGTAATATAGGGTAAATTTTAGCTATAAAGGAGAGAGAAATGATTGTTCCATTTAGTTATCTCTCATCTGTAGCAACAATAATATGTAATCTTTCTTTGAGATTTTTCTCTCTACGCTTTTGGTTAATATGCAGGCCAAGTGGAAGCCATATGAAATGGTTGGTGTTACGTTTTTTTAGTAATCATTTGTGTAATTAACTTCCTTGGCTCTCCTGTCTTGATTCTTTAGGATCCTTCATCTGTTCCCAATGCAGACAATGCCTTCACACTATTTTATGTGAAATTTCGAGCTGCTGCCCCCAAAGTCAGAGTAAGTCTATTGATACCAATAGGATATTGCTATGAAATTTATTCAGTCAACGCTTTTGAAGTATTGTTGTATGTTAGACCCTTCGTTTATACCAGAGAAATGAATATGAATGAAAGGTAGGGATTGGCCAAGTAGAGTAGCTCATACCTGTAATCCCAGTGCTTTGGGAGGCCAAGAGTTCAAGACCAACCTAGGCAGAGTAGCAAGATCTCATCTTTACAAAAAAAAAAAAAATGAGTTCGGCATAGTGGCACATGCCTGTAGTCCTAGCTACTCAGGAGGCTGAGGTGGGAGGATTGCTTGAACCCAGGAGTTTGTGGCTGCAGCGAACTATGATTATGCTACTACATTCCAGCCTGGGAAACAGCAAGACCCTGTCTCTTAAAAAAAAAAAAGCATTGTCCTTCTACTTTACAGCAGTGTATCTTAGTGGTGTGTCCTAGGTGCTTGAAGTCCACTCAGCTCTTCCTGTGATGCTCAGGTAGTCTTTCTAGATGAAGGTGATAGTCGAGCTTAAAAAGCTTGGATAGTGAACGTGAGGAAACTGATAAGGGAATTTATACAGAGAGAACAGTATGCATAGGGAAGGTTGTAGAGACATAAAAGAAATGCATTTTGAGAGAATCCCATGTTGTTTATGATTGGAACTTGGGACATTTGTGGAGTGTGATAGGAAAGAAGACAGAAAAGATGGCAAAGACTGTCTCCTAAGGGATGGTAAATATCACGCTAATTCAGGGAACTAATGTAGTGTCTTAAACAGGGAAGTGATTTGGTAAGATTTGCCAAACAGACACATAGACCAATGAGACAGAATAGAGAACCCAGAAACTAATCCCTGTAGTTAACTGATTGATGGCCAGTTGACTTCTGACAAAGGCAACAAGAACATTCAGCAGAGAAAGGACAAGGTGCTGTAAAGACTGGGTATCTACATGCAGAAAAATGAAACAAACCTCCATCTCTCACCATATACAAAAATCAAACCAAAATGGATTAAAGACTTAAACCTGAAACTGTAAGATGAAGAAGCATTGGGGAGATGCTTCAGGACATTGGTCTAGGCAAAGATTCTTATGGCTAAAACTTTGAAAGCACAGACCATGAAAAACAAAAATAGACAAATGGAGCAATATTAAACTGAAGAACTTCTGCACAGCAAAAGAAACTCTCACCAGAGTGAAGAGACGTCTTGTAGAATGGGAGAAACAAATTAGGAGGCCTAATTTGCAAACTCTTCATTGGATAAGGGACTGATATTCAGAAAATACAAGGAACCCAAACAACTCAACAGTAAAAACATAAACTAATAATCTCATTAAAAGTGGGCGGTTCTCAGAAGGAGACATAAATGGTCAATGAAAAAAATGGTATATGAAAAAATGCTCAACATCACTAATTATCAGGGAACTGCAAATCAAAACCACAGGGAGATATCATCTCACCCCAGTTAGAATGGCTATTGCCAAAAAAGAAAAGAAAAGAAATGGTAAGAATGTAGAGAAAAGGGAACTCACACTGTCAGTGGGAATGTAAATTAGTACAGTTGTTGTGGAAAACAGTTTGGAGGTTTCTCAGAGAGCTGAAAATAGAGCTGCTATACCATCCAGCAATCCCACCACTGGGTATTTATCCAAAGGAAAGGAAATCAGTATATCAAAGAGATATCTGCACCCCCATGTTTGTTGCAGCACTACTCACAATAGTCAAGACATAGAATCAACCTAAGTGTCCATCAACAAACAAACGAATAGAGAAATGTTTATATATAAACAATGGAATACTATTCAGCTATAAAAAAGAATGAAATCCTATAATTGCAGCAACATGGATAAAACTGGAGGTCATTATGTTAAGTAAAATAAGGCAGGCACAGAAAGACAAATTTCTCACTCATATGTGGGAGCTAAAAAATTGATTTTTATGGAGGTAGAAAGTAGAATGAGAGTTACCAGAGGCTGGGAAAGGTAGGTGGGGGACAAAAAGAAGTTGACGAATGGGTATAAATATACAGTTAGAAGAAGGAATAAGTTCAATAGCACAGATAGATGACTGTAGTTAACAGTAATTTATTGTCTGTTTCAAAATAGCTAGAAGATTTGCAATGTTCTCAACACAAATTTTAAATATTTGAGGTGATAGATCTCTTAAATGCCCCGATTGGACCATTACACATTGTATGCGTATATGAAAACATCACATATACCCCATACATCTGTACCATAATTATGTGTCAAAAAATATTAAGGATGACAGTATAAGGAATGGATTATGGTGGAGAGAAATATGAGACAGGGAGGCCTAATTAACAAGAAGGATTTTGCAGCAATCCAGGTGAGGATTGGGTATTGAATTTAATGCATGAGTAGAATATTCCATGAGGTCAGGTATGTGCCTTATTTACTCTCCTTAGTGGTATCACCTAAATAAAGGAAGGCATGATGTATTTATCTTGATACGGTGATTAGAATGGAGGGGGCAAAGATCAGTATATGTGTTACAAATATATTTTATAAAGTATTTGAGATACGTTTAATTGGCACTGGTGCATATGTATTCTTTCTACTCATTGTGAAGTTGCTAGAAAATAAGCTATTTTTACTGACTCTGACTTCACAACCTTTTTTGTTTCCTTCTTGAAAGTTAGCCAGTTGAAAGGATTTAAAAAAAAAAATTAGAGAGACTTAGTTTTGTTTATGGAAGAAAGATGAGGGAAGAGTGGTTAATTGATGGCGTGAGATTTAGATTGTGTTTGATTGATTGCTTTTGCTTTTTATAGCCAAATACTAATGATAAAAATGCGATTAGAAAAGAAATGGGCAGTGGCTCCAGCCTGTAATCCCAGCACTTTGGGAGGCCAAAGTGAGAGGATTGCCTGAGACCAGGGGTTTGAGACCAGCCTGGGCAATTTGGTGAGACCTCCTCTCTACAATATATCAAAAAAATTAGCCGGGTGTGGTAGCGTGCTCCTGTAGTTCTGGCTACTTGGAAGGCTGAGGCAAAAGGATCACCTGAGCCCAGCAGGTCGATGCTGGAGTGGCTGTAAGTGTGCCGTTGCACTCCAGCCTAGGAGACAGAGTGAGACTTTGACTCAAAAAGAAAAGAAATGGCATAGATAAGAGGGCTTAGTGTGGTGGGTGACGATAAAATTATTACATAATTGTTAGTGGCTTTTCTACATACCATTAATAACCAATTAGTCTATATGATGGGGTCCCATTTATATTAGTGACAGAAAACATATAATACTAGTGAGCAATAACCTTAATGGAAATATAAGGATGAAGAAAATAACAAAAACAGTCACAAAACCATAAAAGAGTGAATAAATGTATTCACCCTTTTATGGTGGTAAATTGTTTCTGGGTGGGGAGACCTACTTTTTAAAATGTCAGTTCCTCCCAGTGTTATTTATTGGTTTAGAATGTATTCCTAGCAAAAATTCCAATAGAGTTTCTTTTTTCCTGACTCTAAAATTTATCTGGTAAATAGGCAAGACTAACCAAGAACGCTTTGGAAAATGTAGTGTCATTGAGGCAAGAATTCATTAACAGATCACTGGAATGGAAAGTTCTAGAACTTAGTATATAAAAAGACACCCCAACTAAAAGGAAGAACCGGAGATTTTTTACATGATATTGGAAGGATTTACCAGATATTTGGGGAAAAAAAAGCAAGCTTTTTAGTTTATAACATTATAAAAGAATATATTCTAAGTAAATTGAAGAGAGTAAAATACAAATATGATAAGAAGCATATTCTTTCCCATCCCTGGAAAAAATTCTAGAGGAAAGGATTAAAGGTATAAAAGTGAAATTTTCTGAATTTTAAACAGCAAAAGCAAAGGCAGGAACTGGAGAGAATGCTTGCAACAGATGAAAGAAGATTAATATTTTTAATATATTGTGAGTTCTTATAAGTCAGTATAAGAAAGATGAATATCTAATAAAAAATGACCATATTACTCATAGAAAATATAGAAAATACCTGCAAGGTAAGATTGGGTGGCATTTTATTGTCTGTCAGCAGTTGGCAGATTAAAGTCAGTGCTTTTGAGGATTTAGTGACACAGACACTACTGCTGACAGGAATGTAAATGAAGTAGTTCCTAAAATATATTTTAGGAGAATAGTTCAAAAGCCTGTAAAATACACCTCTCTTTTGCCCCAGTGTTTTGGGATCCTCCCCTGAGAGGTAGGTGCTAGTTTTATGTAGGAGGAGGTGGATTTAGATGGGAACCTGCATGCCTGGGCTCCCTCAGCTCAGACATTTGGACCCCTTAGTTTCCCTTCAGGCTCTTCACCTATGGGCTTTTATTCTCTGGAAACAACCCAGGAATCTCACAATAGAAGAATGGTTTACTTACTTTCAGCCTCCCAGTGGGATATTGTATAGCCTTTTTGCATAATGTTTTAAGTGATATTTATAATCATGATTCATTGAGTGCTTACTAGGTACCAGGTACTGAGCTAAGGCTTTCTCTACATTCTCATCTAATATTAAAAATTATTTAATGATAGGAAAATACTATGAAATAACATTAATTTAAAAAAACATTATAATGCTGAATATATAACATAATTACAGTTTAAAAAAATATAGCAACTGTGGATATTAAAAAATGGAAAGAAAATACATTGAAATATTATCTGTGATTATTTCTTGGTATTATAGGTAATTTTTAACTTTTTAAAATTTATAGTTTTTCTAAGTGAGCATGTGATACTATTTATAATCAGAAAGTTATGAATAGTATAATTAGAACAGGTGGATTTTAAATGTTTTTTCCTTATTCTACAGACTCTTATTGAACAAATAGAGCAGCGATCTGAAAAAATACCTGAGTGAGTACCTAGAAGTTTATTGATTTCCAACTTGCATTTCTCTTGTAGTGTCGCTTATCCAGATCTGCATATGCCCCTGACATTTCCTGAGCAGTTACCTCCAAGCTTATTTTTGTAAAACACAACTTATTTTGGGGAGCAGATCACAGACCTGACTTAGCAAGTTCACATGGCAGCAGTTTTCCTTCTCATTTGGTGCCTGTTCTTAGAAGAGAAATCCTTTAAAAGATAAAGCCTATGGCTCCACAGTTTATTATGGTGTGTTTTTGTTTTATGTCTTTATTTCTAGTATTTAATGTGGGCAAATGAGAGATAAGCATTATGGCTTTAGAGATTTGGTAACCTACACTAGGATGTAAGGTGAAATTTAATTTACATATCTGATATCAGAAGTTTATATTCCAGTCTTGTTTGCTTTTCGTCAGATACCAGCAACTGCTAAATGACATCCACCAGTGTTACCTTGATCAACGGGAGCTCCTTTTGGGCCCCAGTATTGCTTGTACTGTCACAGAGTTAACCAGCCAAAATACCAGAGATCATTGTGCCTTGGTAAGTTTCTACTTGTTTTGGTTTAATGTTAAACCTTCCTCTGAGCTATGCTGATATTCTAGAAGCTATACTGGGTAGATAAGTTTTGATTCCTGTATCAATAAACTAAAACGTCTTTTTTCAGTTATGACAAATCTAGTTTGGTATTAGCCTTATTCAACTCTGTAAAATATTCTTATTTTTTATTTATGATTTGAAATATAAAGATTCACAGGTAAGTATTGTTTCTTAAAAGATGAGGTTTTGGCCAGGTGCTGTGGCTCAGCCTATAATCCCAGCACTTTGGGAATCCAAGGCAAGAGGATTGCCTGAGCCTGGGGTTTCGAGACCAGCCTGGGCAACCTGGTGAAACCTAATCTCTACAGTAAATCAAAAAATGAGCTGGGCATGGTAGGCTATGCCTGTAGTTCCAGCTACTTGGAAGACTGAGGTGGAAGGATCACCTAAGCCTAGCAGGTCAAGGTTGTGGTGGCCGTGAGGGTGCCAGTGCACTCCAGCCTGGGTGACAGAAAGACTCCAACTCAAAAAAAAAAAAGGATGCGATTTCAAAGCTCGTAGATTTATATTGACAGTTTGATTTTAACTTAGTTTTTACTACAGAAGTTTTTTTGTTTAGTGTAATTTTAATCCATACTGTACAAAAATGCACAAGAGTTTGAGTATGCCTTGTTGAACTAGGATAGTAATTATGTTCATTATCAAAAGTTTAGAAAATTAAGCAATAAGAAGATAAAAATTGGCCAGGTGTGGTGGCTCACACTTGTAATCTCAGCACTTTGGTAGGCAGAGGTGAGAGGATTGCCTGAGCCCAGGATTTCAAGACCAGCCTGGGCAACATGGTGAGACTTCGTCTCTACAGTAATTTAAAAAAGTTAGCTGGGCATGGTGGTGCGTGCCTGTAGTCCCAGCTACTGGGAAGGCTGAGGCGGAAGCCTGAACCCAGCAGGTTGAGGCTGCTGTAGCTGTGATCACGCCACTGCACTCCATCCTGGGCAACAGTGAGACTCTGACTTAAAAAAAAAGAAGATAAAAATCACCTATAAATGCATTATGCAGTAATCTGTTGAAAATCAATCATTTTCTGTTCTTCACTAAGATGTTTTATGAATATGTATGCGTAATCTCTGTCATAAAGTGTAGGCTTTGCTTCATAAACACTGGAACTGTTGTGTGTCTTCAACTGTTGGTGGTGTGTGTTTGTTTTACTGCAGGTTCGCAGTGGCTGTGCCTTTATGGTCCATGTTTGCCAGGACGAGCACCAACTTTACAATGAATTTTTCACAAAACCAACATCAAAATTAGAGTAGGTGGTACATAGAATCTGTTTCTTGTTGATAAGATTTAATTTGCTAATGACCATAATGGATTAATATATTATAGCCTAATAATATATTATAGCCATTACTGTATGATATGGCTATATTATATAGTCTTATTCTATAACTGCAGAGTGTTTTAACTTTTTTGTTTGTGTGAACAGAGTATCATTGGGTGGGACAGTGATTATTTTCTTAAATGTGCAGCTTAAAACATGCTTTCATATTGTTTGTAATACAATTATGGAAACATTATGGTGTGATATAAAGAATTCTATATAGGGAACTAAGTCTTGGCATCTAGATCCTTTTATCCTTACTGAGTACAATAATTCCCTCTAGTTAAAGTATGTAATTCTAACTAATGAAAGGTACTTAAAAATACAGCTGTTAATTAATGTCCTTTTTCTTATTTTTCTCAAAGTGTCTTTCAGATTCACTGTTAATCACTTTTGGTTTCTTCATGTTAATTGTTTTAACTCTTATAAAAAGTCTAAGATTTATGACTCTTGTAATGGAGAAGAGAAAAATTTAATTTATTGTTTTGGCCGAGGTGGTCACTTTTGATGAAATACTATTTATGAAAGAGTACTACTAACAACTGAAGAATATAGACAACTTAATTTTTTTTTAAATGTTTAAAATTTCTCAGAGTACTTGGTGTATGTCCAAAGTACTTTGAGTTTTGTTTATCCAAATCTGTAAGTAGCCAACAATTTTGAATTTGTCTTTTCTGGAGGGAGAAAAATACCATTTGATTCATAGTGAATAAAATGCAGAAGGTAATTAAATCTGAAATTTTTTATTGCTTTTGAGAGGACATATACAAAATGAGATAAAAGTTATAATAGGTTGTCTTTTGTTTGGGGATAGCTAATTGGAATTGACTGCTGTGGATTATTTGTGGATTCTGAGCTTTTAGAGTAAAAACAGTTTGTAGAATTTCTTCTCATCCTTTTGCTTCTTATTCTATAATGTTCCCAGATACAATTTTCCAGTAGATATTTATTATTTTTGTCAGCTGGAAGAAGCCAGTGAGGCTTTTAAAGCTATTAGAAAGCCCTGAAAGACTACTACTAATAGCCATATGTTATTTTTTTGTCTTAGTGAGCTTCTGGAGAAACTGTGTGTGTCGTTGTATGATGTCTTCAGGCCACTGGTCATTCATGTTATTCACTTAGAGACTCTTTCGGAGCTTTGTGGGATTCTTAAAAATGAGGTGCTTGAAGATCATGTACAGAACAATGGTAAATAAGTAGAAATGATAATTTTAAGCATCTTTTAAATTATATCTGTGACTCTGAATTTGAAAAATATTAGGTCTTTCTTCCCCCATTCCCCAGAACATAAATTTAATATTTTTGAAGCTTGAGTTGATTCCTTGTCCCTTTCTGAATCAATATACACCTAATTTTGTGACTAAAGGTACGGTTAAATACAGAAAGAATTTTAAAATTTGGGCAAAATTAGTAGTAAAATAATTGTAGTCACTTTTCTGTCTGGCATCTGGAGTCCAGAGAGAACTGAACATCACTTTTTGGGCTAGGTATTTATTTATTTATTTACTTATTTATTTTTTGAGACAGAATCTCATTCTGCCACCCAGGTTGGAGTACAGTGGCATGATCACAGCTCACCACTGCCTTGATCTCCTGACCTTAGGCAATCCTTCTGCCTCAGCCTTCTGAGTACTTCAACTATAGGCATGCACCACCAGACCTGGCTAATTTTTTGATTTTTTGTTGAGAGGAGGTCTTGCTATGTTGCCCAGGCTGATTTTGAACTCCTGGGATCAAACAGTCCTCCCAAAGTGCTGGGATTGTAGGCGTGAGCCATGACTTAGGTATTTCTAATACACTTATCAGAATACATAAAGTAATTGACAGCATTGCATAGTTTTGGTTAAAAGCAGGAGTTATTTTAGCATATGTACATAGTAATGATGATTCTTTTTTTTTTTTCCTCGAGTTGGAGTCTCATTCTGTCACCTAGGCTCATGGCCACCGCAGCCTCTACTGGCCGGGCTCAGGCTATCCTGCCTCAGCCTTGCGAGTAGGTGGAACCACAGGTGTGTACCACCATGCCTGGTTAATTTTTTTGATTTATTGTAGAGACGAGGTCTGGTTACAAATAATCCTCTCACTTTAGCCTCCGAAAGTGTTGGGATTACAGGCATGAGCCGCCGTGCTAGGCCATCTTTTTTGAAATTACAGTTAAAGAAAAGCAGTTCTCTGGAATAGCTCTACTTTATCCATCTGATACAATCTTCAGTGTTTGATTAGATGGTCATAGAGAACATGAGTTTCCTAATCATATTAGGTACTTTTAAAGGATACCCTTCAAGTATTTATTTTACTGACTGAATTTATTGTCCTCACCTTGGCTTTCGTGGAGACACTCTAGATTTGATACTCTTCTAAAGTTATTCTACTGCATTTAGTACATTATAAGATGAACATTTTCTCACACTTTAATGCTTCTGAGCTTAAGATGATTTTTAAATTAACATGAATTTTTGCATGTGATTATGTAGTATCTTTAACCTCTTAGCCTAGAAAGGCTGTTACTGAATTGCTGATGTGTCTTGACATTGATGGCATCTTAGAAATGAAGACTCAGATCTCACTTTTATTTTTTTTTTTTGTGAAAATGTTAACAAGTCATTTAATATCTGTGAGACATTTATTTGTAAAATGGAGATGATAATAACCCAGTCAATAAGCTGTCTTAGCTATTTCTTAGGATTGGTGTGAATCTATGTAAAAGGACTTTTTTTTTGGGGGTCAGAGTCTCACTCTGTTGCCCAGTCTGGAGTGCAGTGGTGCGCGCTTATGACCACTGCAGCTTCGACCTGCTGGGCTCAGGTGATCCTTCCTCTTCAGCCTTCTAAGTAGCTGGAACTACATACGTGCATCACCATATTCAGCTAATATTTTGGTTTATTATAAAGACGAAGTCTCACATGTTGCCCAGGTTGGTCTCGAACCCTTGGGCTCAGGTAATCCTCTCACCTCAACCTCCCAAAGTGCTGGGATTACAGGCATGGGCCACCGTGCCCAACTGTAAACTAACTTTTAAAGAGCAAAAGCACTAAAATTCAGGTTATATTATACACATCAATAATAGAATTTATTTTAGAGTCTCAGGAAGGAAGTGTAAGGGCAAATTTGTTTGCCAGTTTTAAAATTGAGGAAATTGAAAGACACTTAAAAACTTTTCTGCGGACATTAAGTCATTTTGAAGTAGAATACAGTCTCTGAAGCAAAAGTGGTTCATATTGTTTCTGAATAATGTGGTAATATCTTTGCTTGTTTAAACAAAGTCTTTTTCTAAATCTAAAAGAATTGATGATTGTCTTTTTTTATCAGCTGAACAACTGGGGGCATTTGCAGCTGGAGTCAAGCAGATGCTGGAAGATGTACAAGAACGACTCGTCTACCGAACCCATATCTACATCCAGACAGATATCACGGGCTACAAACCAGCTCCTGGCGATCTGGCGTATCCGGACAAGTTGGTCATGATGGAAGTAAGGATCTCCTTACTTGGTCTTCTCCCTTCTTAAAAGTCTAAACATGACTTTTATGTTTTATACTAGTTAAAATAGGATTAAAAAAATTATCCTTCAAAAACTAAAATCAAGATAAACTTGCAATAAAAATCACAAGAGATAAAAATTTAAAAATATTGAACAGAAATAATTTGTGAGGTTGTTTTTCCTTCACCTTGTGTTTTATTTGTTTGTTTGTGTGTTTTTTTTTTTTTTTTTGAGTCGGAGTCTCACTCTGTTGACCAGACTAGAGTACAGTGGCATACTCACAGCCACTGCAGCCTTGACCTGCTGGGCTTAGGTGATCCTTCTGCCTGAGCCTTCCAAGGAGCTGGAACCACAAGGCTTGCGCCACCGTGCTGAGCTAATTTTTTTTTTTTTTTGGAGTTGGAGTCTCACTCTGTCCCCCAGGCTGGAGTGCAGTCACCCCAGCATTTGCTAATTGTTTGATTTATTGTAGAGATGAAGTCGCTCTATGTTGCTCAGGCTGGTCTCGAACCCCAGAGCTCAGGCAGTCCTCTGGCCTCTGCCTCCCAAAGTGCGAGGATTTTAGGTGTGAGCCACCATGCCTGGCCACACCTTGTGTTTTATAAACACTCTACTCAGGTCTCTCCCCTTTATCAGGAAATATGCATTCTGAATTTCAAAACTGAATTAGTGCTTCCTATGATTTCTTTTTTTAAAATAAGTAGCATAGAAGAAAGTTGATAACAAAGGAGCTATAGTTGATTGTGAGGATGTAACTGTGTCACGCTCTCACATAAAAACCTTGAGGCCATCTCCTCAAAATTACACAGTACTGATACTCAATTTATGGTTTGAAGACTTAGGTTTATTTTTCTGATCTTTCAATTCCTTATTTGTCATCATTTTGTTTGAGTTCTGGACAGACTTTAAATAGTAGGATATAAGTGTTAAAACAGAATTAGAACCTAGAAACTTTTAAATGAAAATTTTCAAGTATAAGCAAAAGTAGAAGCAATAATTTAATGAGCTCTTATGTACCATTATCCCAGCTTCAACATGGCCCCATTAATTATGTTTAGAGCAAATTCCAAACATAATTCAATCAGCAAATACTTCAGTAGGTAACTCTAGAAGATAAGGGCACTTTTATTTTTTAACACATGGCAGTGTCATTATCACACCTTAAAATATTGTAGTTTGATACTTAATATCATCAAGTATCCAGTTGATTCTAGAGGTTTTTTGGAGCTTTTGTTTGGATTTACCAGTTGTTAATATTTTGTCATATTTGCTTTATCTCTGTGTGTCACTGAATCACTTAAAAGTTGCAGACATCATGATTCTTCACTCCTAAGCACGTCAGTTCTTCTCCTAAGAATAAACACATTGTCCATATAACTACAATACTTTTTTTGCGTTCAAGGAAATTTATATGATTCAACAATATTATATATAGTTCATATTCAAATTTTCCCAGTTGTCCTTCAAATATCTTTTATAATTGGTTCAAAAAATAAAAAAGTGAGATCCAGTCATGGTTACTGTGTTACATTTGCTTTTTATGTCCCTTAATATCTTTAACTCAAATTTTGACTCCTCCCCACTTTTGTTTTTTTGGCATCTACTTTTTTGAAGTGACCAGACCAGTTTTAGGTAGAATATACCACGTTTGTCTAATTTGTCTAATTGCTTCCTCTTGCTTAGATTCAGGTTAAACTTTTTTTTCTTTCAAGAATATGACATAGTTGATGTGTAACTTCTTACTTCCTAATATCAAAGACACTTAATATCAGGTTGTTCTACTGTTGGCTAAGTTGGTGATTGTTAGCTCTCTTCATTAAAAGTATATAGTATTTCTCTCTTTGTAATTAATGAGTAATTATGGGATGACACTTTGAGATTATGAATTCCCTAATATCTCAGACAGTGCCTTCAGTATCCATTGATGATCCTTGTCTGAACTAGGTATTACATTGGGGGTAGCCAAATGGTAGCTTTCATATCTGCCATTTCTTCCATCTTTTTTCACTGGTTGGCATTCTGCTATAAAAAATGAATTTTCTGTTTTCTCTCTCTTTCTTTTCCCCACTCCTGCTTCATGTAGCATTGTAGACTAGTAGATTTTTTTTTTAAGTCAATGTATTTTCATGTTACTGTCATTATTCTTTTTGATGGTCAAATTTGTCCCAGATATGGCAAGTGGAAGCCCCTTTAGGTTGGTTCCTCTGACTTTTTGACGTGTCCCTGTAGTACCTTTTTTTTTTGTTTACAGATGTAGAGACATGGTTTATATTCTATACAATTTACCCATTTGAAGTTTATAGTTCAGTGACTTTTAGTATAGTCACAGATGTTTGCAACCATCACCACCCTCAATTTTAGAACATTTTAACATTTCAAAAAGAAACCCCATATCCTTTAGCTCTTACCCTCTACCTCAGGCAGACACTAATCTACTATCTGTCTTTATAGATTTTCTGTTCTGGACATTTTATGTGAATAGAATCACAAAAAATGTGTGTGGGTTTTTTGTTTGTTTGTTTGTTTTTTGACTGGCCTCTTTTACTTAGCATAATGTTTCCAGGTTCATCCATGTCATATCATGTATTAGTATTCCTTTGTATAATAGAATACTAATACATGAGGCTACTAATAAGCTTCTACTACTGCTTCTACTACTACTGCTTCTAAAGGTATATTTATTTTAAATATTTTTCCAACAAACTAGATTAATAATTTGGGATAATATTCCATTGTTTGGATATATCACATTTGGCTTATCTATTCATCCATTGGTGGACATTTTAGTTGCTTCCATCTGTGACTGTTACAAATGTTGCTATAAACATTCATGTATACTTTTTATAAATTTTCAATTTCATTAATGAAAAACTTATGTAACAGAATAATTTCTGATCAGCATGAATCAAGCAGTTACTGTACTGAACTGATATAATGTTTTTTTTTCTCCAAGGTTTGTCATGATAGTAAAATAATGACTAAAAGCACTTATGCTAGTAGTCATATGGTAGATAGTGGCTGTTGTCATTATTAAACTCTTGAGATATTTATTTATTTATTTATTGTCAGAGTCTCACTCTGTCACCCAGGCTGGAGTACAGTAGCACACTTATAGCTACCACAGCCTTGACCAACTGATTTCAGGTGATCCTTCTACCTCGGCCTTCCACATAGCTGGAACTACAGGTGTACTCCACCACGCCCTGCTAATATTTTGATTTTATTGAGGAGACATGGTCTCACCATATTACCCAGGCTGGTCTCAAACCTGTGGGCTCAGGTAATCCTCTTGCCCTCTGCCTCCCAAAGTGCTGAGATTACAGGCATGAGCCACCATGCCCGGCCCATCCCATCAATTTTTTAATGAGACATTTGGCTTCTTAGTAAATGTGAGTTTTGATATCTCTGCTTTTCTGTATTAAGATTTAATATAGTATCCTTTTAGATTCCCTTACTTACAAGAATGTGACTGATTCTTTACTGATTAAAACAAATCAAATTACTAATCTAGCTTGTTTGAAAAATATTTAAAATCAAATATACCGTTAGAAGCAGTAGTAGTAGAAGCAGTAGTAGAAGCTTATTAATAGCCTCATTATTTTATTTGAAAAGGTCCAAAGAAAATTTTGGTGCCAGAGAATTTAAAACTGTCGCCTGAGATAATTTTGCTAAGTCAGCCATGTTTCTACTATATTTTTCTGACAAATGTAATCTAATTTTTGCCAGGTTTGTAAACTACATTTTTACTTAGTTTATATCGATAGATCTAAGTTTATTTGTCTGTTAAAAATAGATTAAAGCTCATTTCTTTCTAAGTGTATCCTGTACTTACCAGCATCTTTTGTCACCATGGCAGTCTCTGTTAAGATATTATCCTGTTTCTATTTAGACTGCTTCTCCCAAAGTCACATGTCCTGATTTCCTTTATTTTTATTTTTTCAAAATAGATTTTATGTTTTAGAATAGTTTGAGATTTACAGAAAAATTATAAAGTTTCCCCTATTATTAACATCTATTACCATGGTACATTTGCTGCAATTAATGAACCAGTAATGATATGTTGGTGTTTACTAAAGTTCAAGGGCTATTCAGGTTTCCTTAGTTTTTATCTAATGTCTTTTCTGTTACAGGATTCCATTTATAATACCACATTACATCTAGTTTTCGTGTTTCTTTAGGCTCCTCTTGGCGGTGACAATTTCTCAGACTTTTCTTGTTTTTAATGACTTCAGCAGTTTTGAGGAAAACTGGTCACGTTTTTGTGTAGGATGCCCCTCTATTGGAATTTGTCTAATGTTATTCTTACAATTAGACAAGTGTTGTGGGTTTTTGGGAGGAAAACCACAGAGGTGAAATGGCATTGTCATCACATCATATCAAGTTACATCCTGTCAACATTAAGGTATTGCCCTTGGTTACCTGGCTGAGGTAATATGGTCAGCTTTCTCCCCTGTACTCTTCTTCCCTTTTCCACACTGTGCTCTTTGGAAGGAAGTCCCCTGCACACTCCTGCTTAAGGAGTGAGGAGTTATGTTCTACCTCCTTGAGGGCAAAGTATGTACATAAATACTTAGAACTTTTCTGCAAGGGAGACGTTTCTTTTTTTTTTTTCTGTTTTGTTTGTTTGTTCAATCACTTATTGATATCAGTATGGACGCATTGATGTTGATTTTATACTTAGGCTATAGTTCACTGGTACTTTATTTATATTGCTTCTCTAACAGTTTCATCTTTGGTCATTGGGAGCTCTTTCATTTGGCTCCTGTGTCCTTTTGACATACTCCACTGATGGAGGTTTTTGTTTTCTATTTTGAGCACTTGCTTACTTACTGGCACTACAAGATGCTTCAGTTGCATCTTATATAATATTTCCTGCCTCGGTCCTAGAATTAGCCATTTCTTCAAGGAGTACTGGTCCTTTTTATTGAAGGATCATATTAGAAACCAAGATCTGGGCACTAGTTATGCTCATTGCTTCTGGGGTATTGTTTCTAGCCCTGTCAGTTGACAACAAAGAAATACTTGTGTGTATACTAACTCACTTCTGTTGTTTCACATCTTTGTCAGCATTTTGACTTAACCTAGTTCTTTCAGTGTGTAGACAGATACATGTGTCATCATAGGTATTTTTGTTTTAAAATGAGCAGAGTGGAAGTATACACCCTCTTTAGTTTAATTTTCTTACCTATTGTTTTAAGACTTTTCCCCTAAACTCTCATCCCTTTCTCTGACTTCTGTTTACGTTGATCACATTTTGGCTAGTTAATATTAATTATTTATATATTACTTAAAAAGTAACGTACAAAATCAAATTTGCGGGGGTCAGATGTATGTTAGATAGGGCACGCATTGTTGAGGCCATCAGGTTTTGGTACAGCTTTTGTTATTCTGCAGGCTTATAGAAGGAATTCTCTGTCTGGATATTGCTATTAACAACAGGGAGCAAATAGATAGTCTATTTGCAGGAGCTGCCTTGACTCTGAAGGCCACAGAATGGATACGATGAGGACTAGGTCTGCTTCTCAACCTGATCTAGGGAGTATGCTTTCTGTTTACCCTCCTCTACCCTGCTGGTCTTCATTGGGAATGTCAGTTTTCATGTTATAGATAGAATGCCTGTTTCAATAGTTTTGTCTGGTACAATGTGGTGATAAAGCTTATATGTGCCTCCTTCCCGCTGTTGTTTGGTGATATATTTAGTAAGTTTATTCAGTCATTATGTGGCCAGTGTCTTGGATGCTTCCTTGTGTAGTGGACCTTTTGGTTTAAGGGTACCATGTGCAGTAAATATACTTGCTTTTATTTTGGTGAGGGGCTGGGCTATAAGAGTGATCTGACTGAGACATCTGTGTGCCATTTAGGGATTAGCTGAATGTTCTGGCTTCTACATGCAGTGGACTTGCCTGGGTGATATAGAGTCTGTCTTCTAAACAGATCTTTAGCCCTTTTTTCTGGCAGTAGCTAGAAGTCTGTTAGGTCCTCGTTTCTGTGTATTTCCACCTTTATAACCAGTGTAAATTAGTGGGATTTTTCATTCCTAATTTAGTAGTTGATGTCTTGTGTATGCTGGATGATATTCTTTAGTCAGTGAACCCATGCTAATTTTTAAAAAATCTGTTTCAGAAATAGTGTACTGTAACTATTATCACATAGAGGGAAAGCCTGTTTTTTGGATTGGCCAGTTACTTGAACCAAAGCATTTTTGACTTTCAGAATCTGTCCAGCCTTAAATGTGAATACTTTACTTCTAAACATTAAATTGAAAAGTAGGACTCTTACATGAATCTTGTATACTTGACCCTTCAGCAAATACCTTGTATTGGTTTTGAAATAAGGGAAAAGGCTGTATACATGTTTTTGAGAGAAGAGATAGCCCATACTACTTAAATGTTTCATTTCTACATATTGTTTTTGGCGTAATTCTCTTAATTAATTCATTTGATTTACTTCGTAAAAAGAACATGTTCACATTGCCAAACCCTGCTGAAAACTATTTTTTAATGTTCCTTCTGATTTCTCTATACAGCAAATTGCACAGAGTTTAAAAGATGAACAGAAAAAGGTACCGTCAGAAGCTTCATTTTCAGATGTTCGGTTAGAAGGAGAATCTAACAGTCTGACAAAATCTGGTATGTTATGTCTTAACTACCAACAGTTATTCATTCAATTAATAAACCTTTTACTTAGGGACTCGTCATGTCACAGGCTTGAAAAACAGCTTGTGCCTTTGGGAAGCCCACACTTTATGGGGGGTGGGCATTGCCAAGTCACAGACGAAATTCAGTAGTGTGTGAGATGCTAGTGGTAATATATGCATAGGCACTCTTGCACCATGACGAGGGGCATGGAGCTTACAAAGGGAGATGAACTCTGAGTGCAGGAAGGTGAGCTCACTATGAGGTGTGAAGTCTAAAAACTGGAATGTGTTTACGAAGAGTGAGAGCGAGCCAAATGAAGTAAGGTTGTTTCAAGTAGATAGAATAGGAAGGCATGCAGGAATGGAAGACAGTGGCTGCTTTGGAGAAGTTGAGTGGTTCGAGTGGGCCTAGGTTTGTATGTGGGGAAGGAGCAGATCAAATAGGGCAGATTGTGGTGGGTGCCATGTAATAGTCTCATGACCTTTGACCTTCTAGCTGGTATAGTGTATCAGGATGATTGCATCATCAGATTTGCATTTTGATAATATACTGAGTTGCTAGGACTGGGGTTAAATATTAGTGATGGAGATGTATGGAATAGCTTGGACTAGGGTGCGTGTTATACAAGGAGCAAAATTGTCCAGGAGTCACTGTGGATACTCGTGAGGGTCCTAGATACGAGCTAGATGGGAAGTAAGGCATCCTCCTCCCTCCCAGCTAAAGGGTGGCACTAAAGCACGACTCTTCGTGGTTGACTAGGAGGGAGGGTGCTGTAACTCCATGGCCTTTAAAGAGCCTCAGCTGCCTTAAGATCCCCAGGTTTAGGGCTGCATCAAGTATTCCAAGTCAACTCTAAACAGGTGCTACACCAACTGCAGACTGCTAAGCAACCTGGGTATTCCCCATCTGACAAAGGCATTTTATCCCTATAGTAGGGGAGACCCCCAGGGGGTCGACATTTCCTCCCCTGCAATAGAACCCTTGCCACATCCTAGGATACTTCTTGGTTCCAGTTTACCTCGTCAAGGGTTACTGGAGACCTGTCTTGTTGACCCTGGTCTTGTGCAGTTTCTCTTTCTCTAGTAAAGCTTGTTCTTTAACTCATGCCTGGCATGAGGAATTATTGGCAGAACTGTAGAGACTGGTTAGGAGATTATTGTGTTTTTCCATTTGAGAGATAGAGGCTTTTTGAACCAGGGTGTCGATGGGGAGATGGAAATTTAGGGAAAGGGATGTAGTTAGAAGTAGTAGAATTTGGTGACACACCAGTTGTGGGGGCTGAGGAGGAGTTGATAAGGTCCATATGGAACAGCTGAGAGGATTTGTATTACGTGAATCTAGAAGAATTGAGCAGTCCTGTGTTGTAACCACCTGCCATGCAGAGTGGGAAATGTGGCTAGTCTGAATGTGCTGTGTATAAAATGTGCCAGAAACATGTAAAATTCACACCAGATTTCAGAGACTTAGTATGGAAAAAGAATGAAAAAGTCATGTTAGTAATTTTCATGTTAAATCATGTTAAAATGATGATTTGGATATATTGGATTAAATAAAATACATTGAAATTAATTCTACTGGTCCGTTTTACTTTTTTGAAGGTGGCATTTTAATGTGAATCACATTTGTGGTTCACGTTGTATTTCTATTGGACAGCACTGCTCTAGAGACATCAAGGGGGAGGCTGGCTTAGAGATAAAGAATGAGTAGTTGGCATGCTGGGCTTGTATAAGATCACCCCCATACAGAGAGTAGAGCAATTATAGCAGAAGTCTGGGGGAGAGAACCGGAGCAAATACCAGTGTTATGGAGTCGATGGATGTGGAGGAGTGGACTGAGGCAACTGAGAAAGAACAGCCACGGGGTCAGAGTAGGCATATGTTGAGGGGAGTGAAGCCAGAGGCGGAAGGGTAATTTGAGTAAAACAGGTGAGAAGGATGAAAGCATGAGTTCATAGTGGTTAGAGAGTGTGATGCTAAGTTTTAGTATTTAAGCGGTGGAATAGTTTGATGTAAGAAGAAAGTCTGTACAAAGTAAGAACGTAATTCCGAAAGAAAGTAGTAAGAAAGTCTGCCTGTGGGGAAGGGGTGTGAGGATGGAAGCGAAATCTTTGGAGTTGAGAAGGACGTTGAGGACGGCCATCTGGTCATCTGTATGGTGACCGGTGTTACCAGAATGGTGGTAGAACTTGGGCTGGAAGGCAAGACTCTGAATCAGGTAGGACGAGTCTAACCACTTTCCCTGGTTCCCAGGTATATTAGAGGTGAAAACATTATGTTCATGGCATAGAACAAGGTGTCAGGGCAGATTGGTGTAAGGACCGTTCGTTGAAGAGACCAGTTATCAGTACCTTCAAAAAGCGTAGATGTGCTGAGATGAAAAACACCCATATCTACCATACGGATTCAAGACTTTGCATTTTATCACATTTTACATATGTGTGTGTGTGTGTGTGTGTGTGTGTGTGTGTCTGTGTGTATACACACATATATATAAAAACACACACATATATAAATTTTTTTGCTAATCATCTTGAAGTAAATTATTGACATTTTTGACATTTCATCCTTGAGAATTTTGCCATCTCTTAAAGTAAAGGCATTTCTTACATAACCCTAACCCATGATCACACTAACAATTTAACAAATGTTCTAGTGTTCTCTAAATACTTAGCCCATCTTTCAGTGTCACCTCTTGTCCCAAAGTATCATCCCAGCTCCACTTTTGTGGCTCGTATGAAATCTGGTCCTTGGACCCTGAAGTGATTGTGCTTCCCTTACAAGGGTGTGTGTCTGCCCAAGTGCACCCCCTCCTGCTCCTCCTCACAGTTTCCAGAGGCTGCCTTTTCTGACTTGTCCAGTGGTAGGGGAAAGCCAGCTCTGGTCACTCGGGAATTGGATATACTAACCAGGCCTGTGAGTGACATAGCTCAGGGTGGAAGGCAGGCTGACAGGCACAGCAGCTTTGGCCATCCTGTTAAAATGTCTTTATTTTCTTGTCTCTTTCCCATCTCCATAGACTGCCACTCGCTTCCACGTGGCTACATATAGATTGGCACCTTTTTCATAGTTGTGTTCTAGGAATATGCTTTTCATTTATTCCATAAAGAACATTGACCACAGTTTGGGAAAAGCAGGTTGGGTTGAGCATATCTTTGAGGCTGGAATATATATATGTATTTACTCCAGTGTGTTCTTACTTATTGTTTTAGATCTCATCTGTCACTGATTTAGATTTCTTATGGTATTCTTGATTAAAGGTAAGGCTGGAAACAATTGATGCCCTCCAGCTATTGATAACTAATGAGAATAAATAGTTTCTAGTTGTCTTGTAAATTATTGTAAGAAAAACACCCACAGTTGTAAAATGTGTTTTCTTTCCCATTTGGATTTTAGGTTCAACAGAATCCCTCAATCCTAAACCACAGACCACAATTTCTCCAGCAGATCTTCATGGAATGTGGTATCCTACAGTTCGAAGAACTCTTGTCTGTCTCTCCAAATTATACAGATGCATAGATGTATGTGTGTAAATTTTTGTGTCTTTACTGTGAATTGCTTGCTCTTTCACTTGGAATATTTTAAAATTTAACTTTCATTTTAAGATCTTGGTGCCAGGTTTTGATATTCTTAGAATCATGGTTTTTAGATATGGAGGTAACTTGAAGGTCAAGCTAATTTAGGGTTTCCTAATTCACTAATGGTCTTTGGGAAGTCTATGAGCGCCTCAAACTTGTGGGTAAATTTTGTATGTATGTTTGTATTTGTACCTTTCTGAGGAGAAGGGCTTTAGCGTTCATCGATTCTTTTTTTTTTTTTTGAGTTGGTGTCTCACTTTGTTGCCCAGGCTGGAGTGCAGTGGCATGCTCACGGGCCACTCCAGTGTCGACTTGCTGGGCTCAGGTGATCCTTCAGCCTCAGCCTTCCAAGTAGCTGGAACTACAGGCATGTACTACCATGCCCGGCTAATTTTTTGATTTATTGTAGAGATGAGTCTTACCAAGTTGTCCAGGCTGTTCTTGGACCTGAGGGCTCAGGCAATCCCCTCACTTTGGCCCATCGATTCTTAAAGGAGTTCATGACTACAAATAAGTTTAAAGCTACTTATTGATTTGTTTACCTGAGTTTATAGATGAAGATAAAAAGATGCAGAAATGTTAAATGATACATTCAAATGTCACATAGGTATAATATACCTTTAGTATTTAATTTAGTATTAAATGCAAAGACTTTAATTTTGCACTCAATTGGAATCAGCAACCTTAACAAGTAGTGTTATGATTATGTGTGTTTCTAATCATAGACTAATAAGTTTAGTTATTTCTTGATGTTAATAGCACTTTTTATTTTAAAACTATGTATTGATTTCAGGGACAGAGTTATTTTAAGCACTCTAGTGATATGTTATCATTCCCTGCAGCATCAGATTTGTTGACATTTATTTGCTGTCAATGATTTGTTGCTGAACCAAGGTATTTTATAAAATTTGATGATTTTAATTCACTTTTAAACTTATTAATCTGATGGCTACAACCCAACTGCATATAAAGAGAGAAATGATTAAATATAGCAGTGACTGCTATAGTGTTCAGATGCCATTATTTCTTAAGAATATGATTAAAAAATAATATGCATATATCCTCATACTACACATAGTTGTTTCAGTGGGCCAGTAGAGACTGCACTACTCTGTATTTAATTTAAACTGTATAATTGCCAGGGTTTGTGCTTGTAGATTTTGAAAAGCAACCAGAAGTGCCTTTTGCCCAGTTCTGGAACTTTAACAGAAGAGGCCAGATTGCCCCTACACACCTAGATGTCTTAGCCTTTTTACCCAACTGGAGAGAGGTTTGGATATTTGGCATCTCTTCTTCCCCAGGTTCCCCATTAGGTATATTGAATGATTCTATTAGATAGGGATTCAGACACTTCCTTCAATGGAGCCAGGACCTCAGGGAAAATATGCAGGAAGCATATTCCACATAGAGTCCATTGTCCTCACAGACCCTAGTAAATGAAGCCTCTTGGGGTGCTTAGCAAGGATTTTAGCCAAACAGCAGGTAGGTCTAAGGAGGTCATTCTGTTGGTTTTTGTTTTACACCTTAGACTTCCCTGCTCTTTTTTCACCTAGCTCACAGTCAAATCTTAACCCTTTAGTCTTACTGATCAGTGCTGAGGAAAGAATCCATGAAAAACATGTTAAGGCTGTGCAGGAAAAGGAGAGGGCCTTGGTCCAAGCCTTCCTGGGCAGGGTTGGTGACTCAGAAGGAGGCAGCCTGTCTCTTTTCTGCACTTGCCTTGTGGAAGACATCAGAGGGAGAAGCCATGCCAAAAGAGAATAGCTTTGAGTAGAAGGCCAGGGTCCAGGTGGCCTCACAGTCAATATTTTGCTCATACCCATCCATCTTGTTTCTATCTCAGGAAGAATGGAGGCAGGGAGGGAAGAAGGAGGCTGACAGAAGTCTTGGCATGACCAACATGCCACACCTCTGGGAAGATACAGAAATGGCAGAATTAAATTAAGAGCCATTTATGTACCATTTTGTAACTTTTTTTTACTCTATTTTATAAGAATTTCACTACCTCCTTCAGCATTTTTTTATTTCATGAACAGTATTCTATATTTAAATTTACTAATATTTTATTTGTCAATTCATCATCATTGAACATTTAGTTTATTTCCAGTTTTTTGCTCTTTTAAATAATACTGTAATGAAGAGCCATGTACATGAATCTTATGATACTGATTAATTACTTGAGGTCAATTTTTAGAAGTGGATTTGCCAAGGTTTGTTTTAAGGTTGGGTTTAGACATTTTGAAAAACAGCCCCACAGCATGAGCCCATGTTGGAGTGGGGCTCCGTGAGGTCAGAACTACGCCTGCCTGCTGACCATTGTACTTCCCAGCATTAGGCACAGTGCCTGCATACAGTAGGTGCTAGTAAATATTTACTGAAGGTCATGTGAGTGTTTCCAGAGGTGATTGCACATTGAAAAATTGTGTTGGTCTAGAAAGGTTGCATGGGAATAGAAAACCAGGAGGAGTACCAGCAGTAAATTAAGCCAGCGGTGGGGCAAGCAAGCAGTGTTGCTGCACTTGCAGCTAGAGTTTTCCTTTTTTGCTCTTGTTGCTGGTTGCCACTAGCCAGTGTTTCTCTTTTATTCCACCAGAGGGCAGTGTTCCAAGGATTATCACAGGAAGCGTTGTCTGCCTGCATTCAGTCCTTACTTGGAGCATCCGAGTCCATCAGCAAAAACAAGGTTTGATGAAGTGTTAGGTGAAATCTTATTACCTGTTATTTTTGGAATGTAGCTTTTACATATAGGCATAGGAATGTAAAGCCATTTTGGCAGTAGGATTTGTTTAATGTGATGTAATTTTGAGGCCCCTTGAGAGAAGCTGAGTATATTATAGTGCTAAATAAAGACTGCACTAATATATAAGAAAGTTCAATTTTTCTAAAGTTCCAAAAATGACACGTAACTTTATACATTCTGTAGGGTAGAGATTTCTTGCTTGTAGCCTTAACATCTGGGAACTGATACTACTGTTTCTCTGGAGTACCAAGAAAGCATTTTCAAGGAGGTGCAGCAATTTATAATCATCCCTACAATGACATTTCAAATAGTTGAATGGCCTCACTTGGAGGAAGTAAGCCAGCTTTGCGGACAGGCAGTTGTGGCCCTTGGTTGTGTGACTTGAGGTATTAATAGTTACATGAGCATGTGGCTTGCAGTTTTTCAGGAAGGGATCTGGGGCCAGGGGCTGCTGGCTTGTGCTTCTCCCATAGCCCCTGAGTGGTTCTCTTTTCAGGAAGTAGAGCATGGCCAACGTGTTGCTCTGCTGACTCTCCTCTTAACGATACCTGTCACCTACAGGGAAGGAGCTGTGGGGGCTGGTGCCAGCCAACACTTTATTGCTACTTGGAGTATTCAAACTCTGTGAAACTTCTTTGACTTCCAGATTTATAAATTTGATTTCTAAATTCAAGGCTTTAGGTAAATTAATTTTTAAAATTCCCCACATAAAGGGATTTGGCATATTGTTGCTAGAAAAGCTCTGTCTTTTTTTTGCAACCACATTTTCACATGAGGACTAGAAATAAAGTTATAGACAGGCAGATTTAAGTTTTTGTTTGTTTGTTTGTTTTTTGTTTTGAGTTGGAGTCTCACTCTGTTGCCTAGTCTGGAGTGCAGTGGCGTGCTCACTGCTACCGCAGCCTCAACCTGCTGAGCTCAGACGATCCTTCTGCCTCAGCCTTCTAAGTAGCTGGAACTACAGGCTGGTGCCACCATGCCTGGCTAATTTTTTTGATTTATTGTAGAGATGAGATCTTGCCATGTTGCCTGGGCTGGTTTCAAACTCGTGACTCAGGCAATCCTCTCACCTCGCCTCCCAAAGTGCTGGGATTATAGGCGTCAGCCATCACACCCAGCCCAGATTTAAGTTTTAAAAAGTGCTCTCACATTTTCTTTTTCTTTTTTCTTTTTTTTTTGAATCTCACTCTTATTCTGTCCCCTAGGCTAGAGTGCAGTGGCATGATTACAGCTCACCGCAGTCTCAACCTCCTGGGCTCAGGTGGTCCTTCCACCTCAGTGTCCCAAGTAACTGCGGCTACAGGAGTGTGCCACCATGCCTGGCTAATTTTTTGATTTTTTTGTAGAGGTGAGGTTTCGCTGTGTTGCCTAGACTGGTCTCAAACTCCTGGGCTCAAGCAATCTTCCCTCCTCAGCTAAGTGCTGGGATTACAGATGTGAGCCACCGCGCCCAGATAATAGGTGAAATTAGGAAACACGTGGCTAACATTAGGGAAATGGTTGAGTAAATTGTGGCATTAGTGGAGTATTACACAGCTATTAAATTTTTAAAGAATGAAACAATAAAATTTGATTCAAACATGTATACAGTGTAACTTTAACTATGCAATAAAAAAATGCATTGAAGAAAATATGTAACAGTGACAGCTTTGGGGTGACTGGATGATTTTTCCCCCATTCCCCACACATTTCTTTATTTTCTAGATTTTCTACAGTGGGTATGTATTTCTTAGATCATCAGAAGGAAAAAAAACATGATTAAATTAAGACAAAGTTCCTATACTGTGTCCTCTTGTGCTACTGTCCATCCTCTCTTTTAAAAAAGGGCAGTTTAGCTGTTCATTCTTTTGCCCCTGTGATCTGTAGGCCATCCTCTTTTATCTAATTCTGTTTCCTACATGGTAGAAGGGTATTGGGTATGCATGAGGAGTTTGTGTGCTTTTTTACTTTCAACTTTTTAAAAGTAATCAATGAAAATGGCTTAATGTCTTAGAGAATTTTTCAAGTTTTTAAGACAAGAAATTGTTCTTCCATACTTAAATTGAGCACCTAGCCTGTTGGTAAATGAACATGATGCTATTTGCTAGCTTCTCATAGCTTTAGTAAATATAATCTATATAATAATATTTTTTGCATCAGAGTTGCCACAAGTTCCTTTAAAAACAGAGCAACTATTCAAAATGTGTAGCATTTTCTACTCATCTGATGCGCTTTGTTCTGGAATGCAAAGTGAGTTTCCATCACATAAGTCATACATATAATGGCTATGTTTATTAGAAATGGGGAGAGGGAGACTAGGGAGAAGTCACTTTGTTTAATAACCCTTTAAAAATTTATATTGCCTACTGAAATAATTTTATTTTTTCCTAATGTGTAAACAAATTTATTAGAAGTGTTTTCAAAATAATATTCTGCCTTGAGTAGCAGCAAGAAGGAGCAAAGACAGCCTTGCTCTTATCAATACTCAAGACTCTTTCCTCAAGTACTATTTTGAGGTTGGGCCAGAGTTTTGAGAACCAAGCTTGAATCACAAGACTCTTGTGGATAGGTCCTGCAAGGGCCAAGGAACATGCGAGACCTTCAGGGCTATAGGTAGATAGTGATTTGTTGGTGGCAGAATAATCCCAAATGGGAACCCCAAATCATCTGACATTTGATGGCACCTTTTTTGCTTTTGTATACATGTGAGCATGTCTGATGTTCTGAATATTGAAACCACTTTGAGCAAACAGTAGAAGCCATGCTCCTGAAGAGAAACCAGGAAGCCAGGCGAGACCAGAATCATGCTCATTCTTTGAGCTTCCTTGACTTCCTGCTCCATCGTCTCTTACACCTCTGTACCAAGTTACAACTTAAATGTGTTGTTTTGCAGCCTTTTGTCTGACTTCCTTTCTTAGATTTTTTTTAAGTAGAGTGGATGACAGTGCTAATAAGAATTTGAAGCAAGATTTTTCCAGATAATTCAAATATGGTGAGAGTTCATTGCACAACAAAGGATTGTTGGCACCATAAGGCCGTAAACCTAGGTAGATTAATGATGATGAATAGCGTATGTTTTATATGCTCCCGTTTTGATTTAATCTGTGATCATATCCATTTTTCTGTCTTATAATTTAGACTCAGGTTGATGGACAACTTTTCTTAATTAAGCACCTTTTGATTCTTCGTGAACAAATTGCTCCATTTCACACTGAATTCACCATTAAGGAAATTTCCCTGGACCTCAAGAAAACTAGAGGTACTTTGTTGTCCTGGCTGGCACAGTTGGGTGTGTTTGATCTGTCCAGATGTGTCAGCATAGGTTTTAGGTTTATTTTATGTTCATCTGCAATTTTTTTTCATGCTTTGCTTGCTAAATGTGTTACTTGTTTCTACTAAGCCAAGCTGTCAACATCCTAATTACTTCTAACTTCCTATATTTTTTTGATAAAGGGAACTATATCTGGACACTTCATTTTGTAATAGAGCATTATCTCTCTTAGACTGTGCCACATATTACCTTAACCAGTTAAAAAATTAAAAATCAGTATAATAACTACTTCCTAAGTAAGTATTAGAGTATCAGTTAATTGGGATGATTTTATTTTATTTTATTTTATTTTAAGATGTGGGGTACAACTCAGGATTAGGTAGATAAGTGGACATCATACAGGTACAGTTTGGGCCCACTTTGTAATTGGGATGATTTTAAACATTGAGTTGAGTTTGCCAGTTTATGAAAATTCAGGACCCAGCTGGTTAACATGGGAAGAGCACACATCTACGAATCTGACAGAGTTGGGTTTTGTTCCCATCCCATCATTTCCTGGTTCTTGTGTGATCTTGAGTGGGTGTTTTAGCTTCCCTTCCCCACCTTCCTTCTAGGTAAAATGAGCATAATCAATTTGTTTTGATGCCTTCATGGGGTCATCAAGATAATTAAGAGTGCATGTATATTAAAGAACTTTGTAAGTTTCAGGTGCTTAAATAAACGTAAGTGATATAGTTAAATCACCTGGTTGTTAAGTAATCATGTAGACAGTCTTGAGTTGGTAATAGATATTGAGCCATCTTGGGAAAGGTGATTCATCCATCTTAATGATTTGTCTCTGACTGAATTAGTAAGCTGATTTCTATAAGGTCAAAGTTACTTTCTAAGGTGCTGCTCTCAAGCAGTTAAGAAGATACCATAGACATACTTCATTTCCCTTAATTACTTACAAATTTTTATAAACTGTATCTTAACCATTTCTCAGATATTTAAGCTCTGTTGCCTTAAGCATGCGTTTATTTGTTTATATCATCAGCTATCTTCTCTCTAATTTATTGGGGCAGTTAAGAAAATAGTCACTCAAAAGTATTTTCTGTGTTAATGTGGTTCAGAAGGATGCCAAATACAGGATTTTCCAGGGTAGCAGGTTTTCAATTCCCTGATTTCTGTACTCATCCAGAAGTGGGCTGAATTTAACTCCCCTGAGAGCCAGTGTAACCTCGTGATGAGTCATGTTAAAACAGTTTGCTCTTTGTCTTTTTCCGATGCTCTCTTCCTGTCCACCCCAGAGAATACTTGCTGGTTCTGTAAAGCTTGTGTGTTATTCCTATACTTGGTGATTTTTTTTTTTAAACAGCCAGATTTCCTGGCTTTTGCCTTTATGGAATACATCATTTTTAAAAAACTTATTCCCTGTAGAGACTTCCCTCTCCCAGCCCTTCTGGTTGCTTGCTTTCTTCCTTTCCAGTGGGAGCTGTGGGGACGGTACTCTTCCTTGAAGAATTCTCTTGTTCTTTGTTCTGGCGTAGGTCAACTGAGGTGTGAGAAAATGGAATATCCTAAGATTGTGGCAAAGTTTGGTTAAAGTATGCTTTCCCTCAAGTATTATGAAGCTTATGTAACCTTACCATATGGTGATTTGATTCTGTTTATTGCAGACAGAATCTTTTAGGTATCGTGTAGAAAAGACAGCAGACACAAAGAGCCATTTACTAAAGCTTTACTCTGAATACTGAGCTGAGAGAGATTCTTTTCATTAAGACCAGGGCCAAGTCAGTAAGTATTATGGTGGTGTGTACTTGCAAAACCAGGGTTGGAAGCATTTCATGCTTTGTTTAATCCAGTCTGGCAAAGCAAAGCAATGGTCTTTTTTGACTATTTTAAAAATACTTGCTTTATTTACTTTTAAGCCTCTAACCTCTCATGACTAACATTATATCTTATTGCATTTGAACATCAATGAGACCTCAACTGGTACTTTGCATAGATTCTAGTTAGTCTGGAGGTTAAGGGGTAAATATGTCCTTTTGGTGTTTTCTTCCTGGCTGACACATTAGTTTACTCCCTCTGCTTCAAATGAATAAATTTCTGTGCCAGCCAGGATTTTAAAAAAGAAACTGGGTAAGTATGTATTTTTTAAAAACCTATTTAACTTCCTAAAAATACAACAGCGAAATTTTAAGGCATTGATACCTTTGATTTTTTTTCCCTATAAATGAATAATTAAGATTAACTTTGACTTGTAGAAAATAACTTGTGTTGGTGCTGTAGCCATCACTGGTGCTCATCTCACCCTCATCCTTTTTTGGAGGCGAGTTGGTGAAGGTGAAATGACTTTTTGTGTTGTGGTGGTGGAGAACGAGTGTCTGTTACACGTAGCTTCACTGTTGAAACTGTACATGTTCACCGGATGAGTAATTTTGTTTCACAGATGCAGCATTTAAAATCCTGAACCCTATGACTGTTCCAAGATTTTTTAGGCTGAATAGCAACAATGCCTTGATAGAGTTCTTGTTGGAGGTGAGAAGGCATCTGTTTCATTGGTGGTGGGAGATAAACGACATTCTTTACATGTCTGGTAATTTCTAGGCTCACAAAAACAGGAGGAAATTGTCATCTTCTTTTTCAGGGTACTCCTGAGATAAGAGAACATTACCTTGACTCTAAAAAAGATGTGGACCGTCACCTGAAATCAGCCTGTGAGCAGTTCATCCAGCAGCAGACCGAGCTGTTTATAGAGCCGCTGGAGCAGTTCATGATGAAGGTATAGACCGCGGTGCCTGTTTGGTGAAGTCATTCTGCGTTCTTCTAGGTTTCCTTTTGAACATCCTCTTGTGAAGACTTTGGAAGAAAGAAATAGTAAGCCCAAGTCTTAAAGATTCTGTCTAGGAAACCATGCTTCCTATTATGGAAGCTTTTTGTTATATGGACTTTTAGATCTGCTTGCAATTTTTGTTTTTCAGAGTAATTGTTCAAATAACGCAAAGCTAGTTATAGCTTGTAGCTGAGCCCTGGTTAGCTGTGTTCTGTTTATCCACCCTGCAGGTCATCTGCATGTGGGTGGAGATTTACTTTCTCCTGAAATCTCATTTTCTGCTAGACCTGCAGTCCTGGGTAGCAGGGTTTCTGATGACTTAAAATGGGTGATTTACTTTCCTCCTTGTTTTACATGCTATATCTGTCTTCCATTTTGCATAAATAATTGGGACTTGAAGATTTTATGTCATAGCCTTGTTAACCACCAGATATACATGGATTTTATTATACAGTAAGTCCTCCTTTAACATTATCGATAGATTCTTGGAAACTGTGACGTTAAGTGAAACTACATATAACAAAACCAATTTGTTTTCCTCCTCAAAGTTATGATAAAACTATGTTGAATCATTGGACGGAACAATATGCTGTACATCATTTTGCTTAACGTCACAGTTGTTAAGAACCTGGCTGGGCGCAGTAGCTCAAGTCTGTAATCCCAGCACTTTGGGAGACCTAGGTGAGGGGATTGCCTGAGCCCGTGGGTTTGAGAATAGTCTGGGCAATTGACAAGACCTCATCTCTACAATAAATCAAAAAATTAGCCAGTCATGGTAGTGCGCACCTGTAGCTCCCGCTACTTGGAAGGCTGAGGTGGAAGGATTGCCTGAGCTCAGCAGGTCGAGGCTGCAGTGGCCATGAGTGTGCCACTGCACCCCAGCCTGGGTGATGGAGACTCCAACTCAAAAAAAAAAGAACTTATTGCTGATGTTAAGTGAGGACTGACTGTATTATGTGGATGTTATAGTCTAGCTCTCTGTCTCTTAAGGTGTAATCCATCAACTAGTGAATGTTAGCAAAGAGAAAAGCAAATCATGGCTGGTTTGACATTCTTATTTCAGCCTAATCACTTTTTAAAAATTTAAGTGTCATTATTAGGAACTTAAAAGATGTTTAAGAAGTCTTGAAATTAACTTTCATTTATTAACCCTCTGCTGTTTACCCCAGACTTTTATTAGATGACATCATAAAAAGGGTAAAAATATTATGGTCCTTTTCAAATTTGAAAAACTTAACTGGGCAGATAGGAAATATCTATGAAACAACCAGCAGTCAGCTAAGCAGATTGTTCGTGAGTAACTTTGCAGGGTCCTTCAATGCTTATATGTCTGAAGCCTATGATAAAGAGAGAAGATACTCATTTTAAACAATTACAAGAGGCCAAGAAAGCATATACAGAAATGTTAAAACAAGCTACTTTTTAATTTATCATTGGTGTATATTACTTGTTTAGTGGATTTTAGTCCATTCACTCCAAGTATTTGGAATGTGTGTGTGTTTATCTCACCAGAAAAATTTTAAAGTAAGAGGGTAGAAATGTTTTCTATTGGGTTTTTATTTTTGTTTTAAATGGTGTAAGTATTGATTCTTTGTAATTTACAGATAAGTTACAGTTTTTCCTGAAATTATCCTCATGGAAAACCAGCTGGTAGACTGTAATGTATATCTCTGGGCAAGCATCCACATTAATACTGGTGGGAAATATTATAGATGAATATTGTGCAGCAGAATGAATCTTCTAAAATAAGCAAATTGATTGTAATGAAATCCAGGATTCAAGGGTTGTTCTAGAACAGCACAGTTTTTCTAGAAATCAAAAGGGTCAAAATTCACTGATAGAGTATCCAAGTTGACCTTGTATAAATTTGGTAAATCTGGTGCAACTCTGCAGCTATACATTTTGGAAGACACGAGATACTATGAACATTTAAAAAGGAAGTAAATGCTTATGTAGCAGATATTCCAGGTCTTAAGTTATGCAGTGGTTCTCTATGGACATGCTATGTGTGTGGAACAGGGAACCCTGAGCTGTTCATGGACCTCATTTTATACTTCCCTCACTGTGGAACTGGGGAAGGAAAGGCCTTGTCTCTCATTGTCACAGAGGTTTTGGATTGTCAGAAGACTTATCATTGAGCCTGAAGACTTGGGGTGTGACTCTGATCCTTCTCTTCTACTGTAAATTGGCCTTTTTGCTTATGTAGCTTCTCCCATGGCTCTGTTTGTTGAGATGCTCCCTTTTCATTAATTCTCACTACATCCCCCTAGTACCTGGAGTAAGGGAAGCATCTTCATTTCAAAGATTGGGAAACTGAAGTCTGGCGGAATGTCCGAGTGTACACAAGACAAACATTTAAATCCACAATATCTGTATCTGTGGTTTCTTCCTGATTCTTGTTATAATTATTGGTCTTTCCTGAGAAAAATAACATAAGCACTGGAAGAACTTACTTGTATATGCTCTATTGCCTCATTTCCTGGTCCTGGAGAAATAACCTCTAAATACTTGAATATAATACTGTTCTAAGTGTTGGGATTAGAGGTTCAACAAATCATTGGACTGGACACTTGTAATCCTAGTGCTTTGGGCGGCAGAGATGGTTAGGATTGCTTGAGGCCAGGGGTTTAAGACCAGTCTAGATAACATAGTGAGACTGTCTTGACAAAAAAAATTTTAAAAATGCGCTGGGCATGGTGCTATGCACCCATGGTCCTAGCTGACTCAGGAGGCTGAGGTAGGAGGATCACTTGAGCCCAGGACTTCAAGACTGCAGTGGGCTATAATTGTGCCACTGTACTCCAGCTTAGGTGACAGAGTGAGACCTTTCTAAAAAAAGAAAAGGAAAGAAAACATTTGACTCAGATTATTTTCTGTCAAACTTTAAAAACTGCTGATTTTTTTGTTGTTGTTGCTCTAGAATTTCATCATCCTGAATGTTGCTTGAAACAAACTCTCAAGTAGAGCTTGGATGGTAGTGGGTGTAGTGGATAGGTCATAGGACTTTGAGTCAGGACAGCTGAGCCCTAGAGCCTGGGCCCCTTCTGCCGCCTTCTGTCCGTAGCAAGTCAGTTTCTCCAGATATCAGTTTCCTGATCTCTGTGGTGGAGAGAGCACAGCATTCATTCTCCCTGCTGAAGGCTGTCATGAGGACCAAGATAATCATATGTGTAAAAGCTCTTTGTGACTGTAAAGGGCTGCAGAAATATTATTTTGTAGTTAAATATGACAAATTTGAGGTGATGATTTTGCTGTAGGGAAAATCTCAATTAAGGCATTTTAAAGGAAGTATAAATTCAAATTTATAGTTAAGCTGAAAGTTTTCTTCTGGTGGGACCAGTTTATAAGAACTCAGAGTTATATGTGAAAATACTCATCTTCTTCCAAGCAATTTGATAAAGTGTTACAAGTTTATTCTTAATAGTCCCTCTGAAGTGCTATTAATTTCCTCAGTAACACTATAAATTAGAATTTTTTTTCTTGATGTAGTAAATGTAATAGAATATGACCCATAAATTTAATTCCTGTTTTCAAGGTAGTACAACCTAGGGCGAAATCAAAATAGAAAAATATGTAAACATTGAACTGTATACAGCGATGTCGTTGTGAGACAGTAGGTCTTTGTTCATTATGTAGGGTTTAGAAAAAAATGGGACTGATTGGAGAAAACTCTTGAAGAAAATGCTCCTTTAGGTTTGACTTAAAAAAGTTAAATTACCTGGGTAGTAAATAGAGATTAATATATAAGTTTATATTTGTTTTTAACACAAAAATAATCATAAACAGCCCAAACATATGGCATTATGAAATTGGTTAAATTCTGGGGCAGTCAGTTGAAAAGTAGACAGCCATAGCTATTAAGATGAAACTGTCAGATGCAGTTTCATCTTAATGAATATAGACTTAAGTGGGGGAAAGGTTCACAGAACATTGTGTTCCCATTTTTGTAAATGTATATACATTAGAATATTTATATTTTTGTGCTGGAAAATATCTTGGATAATATACTCTAAGGTATGAGTGTATTTTTCTTTTAGCAATGTGTAATCATCTGTAATCATATATAATTCACTTTTAAAAGCTGCACCTCACAATAACAAAGACTTGGAAAGAGATGGAGTAAGGAAGGAACAGGCAGTACGAGCAAGGGCCTGGAGTGGCCCAGGAGGAGAAATAAAGTAGATAAAAGGAGACATCTGAAGAGATCTGCTTTTAGGGCCTTTTGTATGAGAAATCTAAAGAGTTGGGGCTTGGGGCTTTCTAATGGAACTTCCTCTGAGGCCAGAGCCATGGCTTGGACCTTTGGCACATGACTGTTCATTAAAAAAAAAGTTTTCTGCAATTTGTTTGTCATCCTTATCTCTACTACAATTTGCTATCTTAGTCTTGTCAAGCAGCTAAATGTTATTTGCGTCTCTATGCTGCTGCTGAGGAATGAAAAGAAGAGAAGATGAGCATTCAAGTCTGTATTTTTTTGAGTTAGGGGTCTCACTCTGTTGCCGGACTGGACGCAGTGCCATGCTCACAGCTCACTGCAGCCTCAACCTCCTGGGCCTCAGTTGATCCTCCTGCTTCAGCCTTCTGAGTAACTGGTACTACAGGTGTGCAGCATCATGCCCAGATAATTTCTTGATTTTTTTTTTTTTTTTTTGTAGAGATGAGGTCTCATTATGTTGCCCCAGGCTGGTCTCAAACTCCTGGACTCAGGCAGTCCTCTTACCTTGGCCTCCCAACATGGCTAGGATTACAGGCGTGAGCCACCGTGCCTGGCAATTGTGCCTTTTGATGGTATTTGAAAATATTATTTATTTATTTTAATAACATCTTCTCTGCCTATGATATAATTAGAAAAGGGATCCTCCCGATATGTAAAGGAGATTTTATCCTGCTAGGGTGACATTTTTCTAGTAATATATGAAATAATTTAATATTAATATAACAGTCCCTTAAAAGAGACCTGTTTTGTGTTGACATTTCTTTAGGGCTTCATTTTTGCCTCCGTACCCTGCAGTTTTTCAGGTAGAATGCCTCAGGTATGGTTTTTGCAAGACAACATATGCCTTGAAATCACAAAAGAAGTTTTGCTAAAAATTTTCATCAGCTGTAAATAATTTGAGCTACGATGCAATTTTGTTAGGGCTGCACATTTGATTATCATTGTTTTAATAGGCTTAAGTGGTGAGTGTGTCCCTTGAGAGCAGTAGCAGTTTAACTTGTCATTGGTAAAATGAAACCTTTTGCTTTTTGTCTCCCCTCCTAGGTTTCAGCTTTAAAAACAATGGCCAGTCAGGGAGGCCCTAAGTATACACTCTCACAGCAGCCTTGGGCACAACCAGGTATTCTTTCACTATTTTGAATTTCTTTTTTAGTGTGTTATTAATTTGCATTTTTCTAGTCCTTGCTGTGACAGCTTGAGGTTGGTTTCCTGTTCACTCTGGGTGCTATGATCTGTGTTAATGCAAGATTCATTTTGGAGCTGACAGGTCTTAATTGACCAGCGCTCCTTGTGTTTCAACAAGCATTCCAGGAAAGGAAGACTTTTTAAAAAAAATTACCCAGTTAAAAATAAAATATGGCTTAGATAGAAACTCTTTGAATATGCTGATTTCTATACACTCACTGTTCATTGTGTTCAAGCTTTGGTGAAAATACTGTACTAGATAGGATGAAATTAGGAAGAGAGTACACCTATTTTCAAGTATATGAAGAAATGTTTTGTTCCACCAAATCCAATTGCATCCTCTGTTGACTTTTTAGAGTGCTTGAAAAAAAATTGCAAAAATTGAGGTGCCAGTTGAGAGTTGGCAGGCAATATCGATGTCTGATTGGCAGATGTAGTTGAGATATTCCCAATCTTACTCTTTCTTAAATGTAAATTTTTTGTGCTATAGATTTTTTTCTTTACCATTAGATACTAGACATTTAAAATCATGACTAACTTGGTGAGTTATTTTTGGTACATTTGTGGCATTTTAAATTTGTTATTAAGCCAGAATAAGTCATTTTGTTAAAATTGATATTTCTGGCCATCTTTTGTCATATTGTGATAGCACTCCTTTGAAACTAAAAAGGGCAAAACAGTGAAAGAATCAGTGTTTTAATTATGGGTGAGCTGTGTCCAAGTTGGAGGGTAGCTTTTCACTTGTAGTGAGAGAGAATTGGCTGTCTGCAAGTACCTAATATGGACTCTTAAGTTTTCATACCATTGGCTTTCCATCTTGAAAGAATGTTACATCTGCCAGGTATTCATTTCTTTTGGGAAAAAGAATTGAAGCCTCCAGAATTTTTAGTTATTATTAATGCCTCAGGTTAATGTGAAGTTGAACTGAGAAGTTAAAAGATTAGCTATGTATCTCATAGATTTGTAAATGTAGAGAATTATCAGTTGTTTTTTAAAGGAAGATAGGATTTTATTTCAAGGGTGCTCTTGTGAACATCGATGTTAGTACAGGTGGAATTGACTGTTTTATTGCAAATAAACACTGTGACATGCTTTAGGTCTTTTGTTTACTGTGATGGAGTCAAGAAATGTTCTACTGTCTTCATTATTTTGAACATTTGTATTCTGTGTGAAATAGAAATCTTTGACGTCTCACTGAAGAGCATACTTAATGCCATAGTACATTCTGTCAGAAGACAGAAAATCAGGCTCTTTTTCTGATGATACTGGAAATTTAATCATAGTCTGGTGTAGCGTTAACCTGCTCTTCTGATTCCTCACAGTCAAGAGACAGACTTCAGTTCAGAACTCAGATGGCTCTTGAAGGAAATCTGATGATCCTTGGATTATTGGAGCCTTTGGCGCAAGGTTCCAGTTGTTTTTAGAGGAATTATTTAGAAATAGGAGCTGATTTTTATTTTGAATGTTTATGTAAATGAGACTCTTGGGTATAATGAATCTTTCTTAAGATAGGTAGAAACCAGCGAATAAGCACAGGCATATTTAGCAGAGCTGAGCCCAGGCCAGTACTTGCTGCATAATTAATATATTGTTCTTTCCCCTTTGGGAAGATCCTTTCTCTCAATAGGGGCTATCATTTTCTCAAGTGGAACCCTAATAGAATCCACAGGCTTAGGTGCATTGTGCTCTTAAGCATTATTAGAATCGTCATTAGTAAGGCTAGCACAGATAAAAGGAAATTGACAGAAGGACCGATTGAAATCAGGCTTGCTGCCTTGTCTCTGAACCCATTTGCTTTCTGAGTGAGGAGATCTTTATGAATATAGCAATGACAGCTTAGTGTCTCCTGCGTGCAGTTGTATCCTCTGTTCCATTTAGCCACAGCAGAGGTGTGGGGTTGGTTTTTCTTGATCTGTAATGCTTGAAGCCCACTCTTAAATGTCAGAGGGAGGTTTACTGGCCTCTTGGAGAGGGATCATTGAGACAGGTTAGGAACTAGGTGGGGCCCCTCTGCCCCAGAAACCCAGGGTTATGGATCCTGCTGACTTGGTCTGGGTTACTTTGTGATAAACAAACTCATAGGACAGTGAATTATAAATTATGATGCCCACTGGTTAATTTGCTCTGAAGAGTACACCTTTGTTAGGAATTAAAGGATACTTTATGCACTAGGCTGCACACCCACATTCTGGTTATCCAGGGCATGTGTTGGTGATGATAGAACCAGAGCCCATGGACATGTCTTGAAGGAGCTTTCATCTGCTTTATAAAAGAAAGGCAATTCCTGGACTGTTTATTCTTTCTTCCTGAGAGTATTGGCACTTTCTTACCTTGCTTTACAACAATCCTGCTCAATTAAAAAAAAAGTATATGTAGCATAAAATTTGAACTGAACAGATCATAAAATAAAAAGTATATTATTTTTCATCTCTAAACAAGTCCTTCTCTCAGAGGTAACCACTATTGCAGTTTCCCAACACTTTTTACACACACACACACACACACACACACACACACACACACACACAAAAGCATATGTGGACTTTAAAAAAAATTGCCCGAATGATATTGTACTATACCCCTGCTTTTTTTCACTTCTTACGTATCTGGGAGGGCTTTCTATACGGCATACCCAGTTCTAGCCATTCTAACTATTGACTCATAGAATGCCTCATGATAGCAGGATTTCTTTTGTAATTCTGTTAATGAAAATTGAAATTATTTTCAGTTTTTGTTTCATCATATACTCTTTGAGACATATGTTTTTCTGTGCATACATATCTTGATATTTGGTGTGTATATCTGTGGGGTAAATTTCTAGCAGTGGAAATATTAAGGGAAAAGGCATGTGTATTTTCAGTTTTGCTAGATATTGCCTGTTATTCCTCCAAAGTGGCTGATTCATTTTATACCCTCATCAGCAGTGGACAGCGATGCTGTTTCCCTAAACCCTTGTCAAACACAGACATCCACAATCTTAGTAATTTTTGCCAGTCTGTAAATAGCTCACTGCTTTCATTTGCATTTCTGTAATTATGAGTGATGTTGAGGATCTTTGAAATTATTCATCTTTTTTCCTGGTAGCTTTCTAGGTAATTTCCTCTTTAAAATACTTCATGCAGATTCCTACTCTTTCATGTGGCTCCTTCAGACACTACACCTGGGTTTCATTTTAGTTATAATTTTCTGGAATTCTGTTCTTTTTCTGATAATACAGTATAAGAATATAACAAATAGTTATAGTTATTAAGTCCTTCTTGAATATGTGTGGTTATTTTCAGAATGATCTAAGCAAGATGATCAGAGAACATCTCTTACCATGAGTCAGTTCTGCACATGAATTAGCTCGTTCATTGTGAAGTAATTCTCACTACTGTCTCTCTGAAAATGACTTTTTTTAAAACCTTAATCTCTTATCTCCAGATTCTAAAGGTAGATATTATAGCTCCTATGAATGTCCTTTGTCTGCTGGGATAATTCTTTTGCCACCTTAGCCCTCAGGATTAGAATTTTGTATATAGTAGATACTTAATGAATGTTTATAAGGTTTGTGGTTAAACTTAATAAATAAACTAGAAAAATGAAAGAAATTATTTGGGGAAATAAAGTCTTTTCTTTTGTAATTGTTTTTTTCCTTTATCCCCCTATGAATTAAAATGGAAATATTTCTTTTTTTCTTTGTGGCACTAATGAGGTTAATTTCTTTCCAGCAAAGGTCAATGACCTTGTGGCAACTGCCTACAAGATAATAAAAACAAAGCTGCCTGTGACATTGAGAAGTATGTCCTTGTACCTGTCCAATAAGGATACTGAGTTCATCTTGTTTAAGCCTGTTAGGGTGAGTATAGTGATAATTCTGAGCACTGACCAGTGACTTCAAGTGTTCTGGTCTCATCTGACATTTTCCTCTTCCTGTAGACATTTGGAAGTGGTGGTATTCTGTTCTAGTGAAGTCAATTGGTAACCACTGTGATTCTTGAAAGGCTGTGATTCTAATCAGGCTATCTGTCTGATTAAATTCTTTTTTTCACTCTCACTTTGTCTTAAGTTTTTATGTTACCGTTAAAAGTAGAAATTAGTAAATCAACACAAAACGAAGACCCCTCTGTTGTGTGTGGCCTAGCACTTAGAGAGCAGTGCTTCAGGAATTGCACCCCATTTTACTGGAGAGTAGTAGGAATAAATGGCTTGTAGCAGCCACCAAGGGATTACATGTCAGAGCAGATTTAGGACTCATAACTTCCAGTTCTGTGTTGAGCTCACATCTTTACCCAAGGCATTGCTTGATTTTTAAAGTACATTTTATGTGTCTGGGAACTTTATTGTCTTTTGTGTAAGAAATTGCTGCTGAAGATTTATTATTCTCGAGGTGAGGGGGCTGGTCCAGGGCTTGCTGGAATTTCCTTTTTCCAGGAAGTGTTATCTGATCAGTCCTCATCAGGCTGTGCCAGCATGTGAAATATTAAATGCAAATTATATATCTTTGATAATATCATGAAAGATGCATTTCCTCCACTCCTGTTGGCAAATTTCATTACGATTTAACATTTGTAGGACTTCATATCTAAGATGACTCATTAGGTGTGATCTCTTTTCCTCCTTCTAAGAATAATATTCAGCAAGTCTTCCAGAAGTTCCATGCTCTGTTGAAGGAGGAATTCAGCCCTGAAGACATCAGTATCATTGCTTGTCCTTCTATGGAGCAGGTAAACCACAACCTGAATGAGGTCCCTTGTTACTTTTATGCACTCTTGGTCATTTCACTTGATTAGATCTTTGAGCAATTGTGTTTTTAGTTTTAATTTTTAAGATTGTGCATTATTTTATTCTGTTGAGCAAGAATTCAAACTGAGTTGTTCTCTTATACTTTTTGGAGATAGCTGTAGAATTTTCAGTTGCTTTTTAACCCTTTCTGATATTGAATATTTTGGTGTTTAAGATGAATGACCTGTTTGTGAAAGACTCAGTCTTTTGAATTTTGTTTGAAATATGCGTAATAAGAGACCTAAATGTCAAATGAAAAAAATGAAAGTTATTGAGTATTCATTATGCATTAGGAGTAAGTAGCTTGGTGCTGTGGAGGGTATTTTATTTCTGATCTTGAGTTTAGTGTAGTTTAGAAATTCAGTGTATGGTAGAGAATTCTGGGGAGAGTGGTCAGGTGGTATGGTCCTGATTAGAGCGGGTGGAGATCTGGGGAGAAGGATGGGTAGTGGTGGGTGTAAGTGCTTTGAGGAGTGTTACTATTGTGGAGAGGAGAAAGATGGAGTGGGAACTGGAGGAAAAAATGGGGTCATTTAAAAATTGAGATATAATTCGTATACCACAGTGGTTTTCAGGATATTCACAGAGTTGTGCAGCCATCACCAATGTCTAATTCCAAAACATTTGTTTTTTGAGTTGGAGTCTCACTCTGTCACCCAGACTGGAGTGCAGTGGCCATCTCACCAAGTTGCCCAGGCAGGTCTCGAACCCGCGGGCTCAGGCATTCCACTCACCTCAGCCTCCCAAAGCACGGGATTACAGGCTGAGCCACCGAGCCCGGCTCAGAACATTTTCATTACTCCCAAAATAGCAGATTCTCTCTTCCCTCATTCTGTTAATCTACTTTTCATCTCTTTGGATTTACATATTTCATTAAATGGAATTGTACAATACATGGTCTTTTGTAACGGGATTCTTTCACCTGCCATGTTTCCAAGGTTCATTCATGTTGGAGCATGTATCAGAACTTTATTCTTTTTTATGGCTGAATATATTCCTTTGTGTGGATAGATGACATATTTAAAATGTTGTCTTGGCTGGTCGCATTGGCTCAGCCTATATAATCCCTGCACTTTGAGAGGTTGAGGCCAGAGGATTGCCTGAGCCCGGGGGTTTGAGACCAGTCTGGGCAACTTGGTGAGACCTCGTTTCTACAATAATAAATCACAAAAAAACTAGTCGGGCGTGGTGGCATGTGTCTGTAGTTCAGCTACTTGGAAGGCTGAGGCCGAAGGATCACCTGAGCCCAGCAGGTTGAGACTGCAGTGGCTGTGAGTGTGCTACTGCACTCCAGTCTGGGTGACAAGAGTGAGACTCCAACTCAAAAGTAAAGTAAAATAAAATGTTATCTCTGTGGTTCTATGGTTGTACAACTGAAATACTTTTTAAAATTTTCAGTCAAAATGTCACTCTGTTGCCCAGGCTGGAATGCAGTGTCGCACTCACGGCTACTGCAGCCTCAACCTGCTGGGCCCACATGATCCTTCCTCTTCAGCCTTCCAAGTAGTTGGAACTACAGGCATGAGCCACCTTGCTCAGCTAGTTTTTTTTGATGTATTGTAGAGACAATGTCTTGCCATGTTGCCCATACTGAGAATTGAGCTGCTGGGCTCTGGCAGTCCTCTCGCCTGTGCCTCCCAAAGTGCTGGGATTACAGGCTCACGCCCGGCCCAAAATACTTTTTTGGAGTTGGAGTCTCACTCCTTCGCCCAGACTGAAGTGCAGTGGCCGCTCCCGGCCACCGCAGCCTCAACCTGCTGGGCTCCAGCAATCCTTCCGCCTCAGCCTTCCGAGTAGCCGGAATTACAGGTGCGTACTACCACGCCCGGCTGATTTTTTGATTTATTGTAGAGATGAGGTCTCGCTGCCCAGGCGGGTCTCGAACCCGCGGGCTCAGGCAGTCCACTCACCTCAGCCTCCCAAAGGCACGGGATTATAGGCCGAGCCACCGAGCCCTGCCCAAAATACTTTTTAATAAGTTATTTGAAGTAATTATTCTCTGTTGGAAAGTTTTTTCTCCCCAATATTTAGAGATTTTTTCCCCCTTTTTGATTTAATTGTTTTTTAATTATGTAAAATACTTACATGGCTCCAAGTCAGAATTGTAGAACAAAGTAAATGGGGAGAAGTCTTGTTCTCCTTTTCCAGTCCCCTCTAGCCTTTCCCCTCCTTCCTTTGTAGACAACTATTTTTATTAGTTGTTGGATTATCCTTCCTTTTTTTTTTTTTGAGTCGGAGTCTCACTCTGTTGCCCAGACTGGAGTAATGTGGCATGCTTACGGCCACCACAACCTTGAACTGCTGGGCTTAGGTGATCCTTCCACCTCAGCCTTCCAAGTAGCTGGAACCACAGGCATGTGCCACCACGCCTGGCTAATTTTTTTGATTTATTGTGGAGATGAGGTCTCACCCAATTGCCCAGACTGGTCTCGAACCTGCGGGCTCAGGCAATCCTCTCGCCACCGCCCTCCAAAGTGCTGGGATTATAGGTAAAACCACCACACCTGACCCCCCATTTTTTTTTTGAGATAAGGGAAATTGCATATGTATATGTTCATGGGGAAGATCCAAAGAGAGGAAAATATCTTGAATAGAGAATGTGGGATGGAATCTTGGGAGCAGCTGGGGTGGAGCCTTTGTTAAACACACGAGGATTGAGTCATGGCAGAAGGAGAAGGCCAGTGGATGGAGGAAGTGAGCGTGAGGGGTGCTCGTGGGAGCTCTCATCTGAGTGCTTCACATTTCTGAGCAACATAGAAGCAAGGTCAGTGCTGAGAGTGAGGAGGGAAGAGGTGGAGAGCTTTTGAGGACAGAAGCTCAGTTGAAGTCTGTGGTTGTACATCCAAGAGAGGCCATTCACCTGGTCGTCTAAATGTCTTTTTCTGCAGCTACTGTCAGTTACATGAATGCAGATGTGAAGTAGCTGGATCATAAGAACCTACTTACGGCAGTAGAAATTTTTTAAAGTTTATTTTGTTATAATTTCAAACTTACCGAAAAGGTGCAAGAATGGTATAAGGAGCTCCCACACATTCTTTACCCAATTTATGTTTGAGAGGGAGTTGGGTGGTATGTGCATCTTTACTCCTCAATACTTGAGAGTGTAAGGAAAGCCTCTTACATGGGTCTCATAAAGGCATCAAGACAGGACGCTTCACGTTGATTCTGATGTCTCATCCAAAGTTAATATTCACGTTTTATCACTGTCCCAGTATCATTTCCCCCTGTGTCCAGGCCTGGATTGTGCATTGCTGTCAGGTGTCACAGCACTTTGGTTCCTTTTAACCGGGAGCAGTTCCGCAGCCTTTCTTGACCTTGTCAGGCCAGTCACTTTGTAGACTCTTTCTCTCTTTGGTGGTGTCTCTTTCCTCATGATTAGAGTCAGGCTTTGTATTTTGGCAGGAGAAGCACAGTGGTGATTTTGTATCCTGCTTCTGTCAGCAAGCACTTGTAAAAGTGATCAGGGTGGTGATCTGGATAACCAAAGCAGTTGTACCATTTAGAAGGGTTCATAGCCTCACCTGTGCACCTACCTGCCAGTCTTTAGGGTCTGAGGGGTCAGACTGCCATTCTCCTCCTGATGCTGCCGTGACTTGGCCCTCTTTGACAGAGTGGACAGGTCATTCCTACGGTTGGTCAGAGTTGGCATGTGAGCTAAAATTCACTTGTCACGCCAGCTCTTGTGCATTTTAAAAAATTATTTAAATAATCAGCTTACACACAACATACTTTGCATAGAACAAGGACCAATTGATGATGTAGATATGTTTCTGTCATTTGTCAGTGTTTGCATATAATTTGGGGTCATCATCTTCACGGAATTGTAAATGACTCGATGGCCTAGATTCAGTGGTGAAGGGTGACTTCCCCTCAGGGCCTCCAAATGGCAGTGCCCAGTGGCTGCTTCAGAATTAGGCCTGCATCTTGGGCCAGCTTGTCCTATAGAGCCATGTTTACTAGTCTTGTAAAATCTTGGTGTTTTTCTCATTCTGTTTTGAGCCTCTAAACCTTTCAAGGATAGTATTCCATAGCAGAATTAACATAGCTCCTAACTTTGCTTTTCAGCTGAGCCTCCTGCTGTCAGTTTCTAAATAACCAGGCCAGTCAGGAGGAGCTGGCTGGAAGTCTTGCAGCCTGCAGGACACTGAGGAATCGTATGTGGGAATGTCCCCAGAGCCACGAGTGTGCTGCTCAGTGCTGACCACAGAATGAAATATAAGCAAACTGTTACAAGACTGGTATTCTCCTTTGCAAGACATCAAAATGCCAAAGATTAATTTGGGAGTGGTGGTAACTGCCTCATTTAAATGGTCACAAGAAATGTCCATTTTTAAGAGGTGTGTGTTCACATGGTGGACACACAGTGAAGTGGTTCTCTGCAAAAGATGTGCAATGAAAATAGGTTATAATGAGTAGTGCAAAGAACTTTATAGAAACACAACTCGTTAGAAAGCTTCTGAGAGTAAGGTTTGCTAAAACATGAAGCACTGTAACACTTTTAACCACTGAGCATTCCACAGTGACTATTTTTTTATATCCAGAAATTTATTTCTACACTATTATTTAATGTAATATTTCTCCTATCATTTTGAAGTTGAGTTTGGAGCAGATTAGTTGCCTCTGAGAACACATTCTGTCTTCCCAGGAACTCAGGGCATTGTCTTTCTCTCTGCTTGATATGAGGTAGTTCAGATGCAGGGACCTCATGTGAGGCTCCAGTGTCTGTTTTCCTGGAATTGCTCAGGTGCAGAAGTTTCTAGGTGGGGAGCTGCAGCCTCCTCATGGTAGATGTGTGTGGTGTCTTTAGCGAGGATCTCATGGCACAGTAGTCAGTGTTTGCGAGTGTGAAGTACCAATTAAGGCATCTTAAATCTGGCACATCAAGGAGAGAGGAAAGCCTGATGAACTGTGCGTCTCCTGGATGAGGGCCGGGTTCCCGGCCTCTGTTCACTGCCTTTGGTGTTAGCAGTTCTTTGAAAAGCAAACACTTTCATGTCCTGTCTGTTCACTGAGCGAGCTGCGCTGTGTCTGCACCAGCCTGTGGAGCACCAGCAGTGTGTTTACCAACAAACGAGGGTGGCAAACACTGCCCACACCTGAAAACTCCCACACTATATCAGGGATCATAAAGCATATTACACACATCTGTGAGTTCCTATTTCTTAATTGGATTGGTTTTGCCTCCAATGTTATAGTGAGAGTAGCCTGCTTCTTGGTTCCAAAAGTTTGCTGAGCTATTCAAACACTAGAGGTAGGACACTGCCCAGGGTTCTGGGGTGGGACCAGTGAGCTTCATGGTGCATTCAGCACCTGTAACTGCGCAGTGTGCAGACGGTTGACATGTCATAATTCTGTCATTGTAACAGATCACTTGCTTTTCACTTGAGGAAGTAGAAAGTAAGGAGGTCCATATTCATTCTTTGCTGTGAATGAATTAGGAAGATGTATTTACTTCCACTTACTGTTTTTAAATACAGGTTTAATGAAATAAACTGTAAAATATCCAGTTTTGTGTATTAAATGTACATTTTATTTTTTAATGGCCTTTCCAAAGATATGAGGGCATGATTATTGTATGGTAAATACTGTGACTGATTTAATTTGATGTACAGAGCAAAATGTGTTCTTAAAGATAAAAATATTTAACAGCACTCGTTCTTGTGTTTTGATCTTTTATTTCTGAAACACCTTACAAAGTGCTGAGTAGCTGATAGTGACCCAACTTGTTTGCTAAATAAATATTTGTTTAAATCTGTACAGTTTCAAGTGTTTACTTATACAAAGAGTGTACATACTTTCAAATAATTTAAAATGCTTTATATTATTTGGCTAGAGATTGCTGTTTTTAATAAATGTGAATTTTTTTAAAAATAAAAATTTTTTGCTTCCTACTTCGTTCTTATGTGTCTGGTATGTGTGTGGATTCTTTTAGTAAAAAATTTTAATTGAAATTTTTATTTGGCTAACTTGCAGAGTCTCATGCAGTTGTAAGAAATAATCCTGAGAGCCTGGGTACCCTTTTATACCCAGTTTCCCCCAGTGATGGCATCTTGTAAAACCATAGTCACAATATCACAACTGGGATATTGACATTAGTACACTCCACCAATATCACCGAGATTTCCCTAGTGTTAGTTGTACTGTGTGAATTCTTTTGGCAAGATAATTATTGTGGAAAGACATTTTTGAAGCATCTTAACACTTCATTAGTTAAAAGACGATTTAACTTTTTTTTTTTCAAAATTGCCCATTTTCTCAGTACTGTCAGCATAGATAATTATATTGGGATTTATTGTATTAGCAGTAAAAACAAATTTGTATTTTTCCCCTGGTTTAACAACACCATATCTTTGTGTTTTCTTCTGCTGTTACCTAATAAGACAAAATAGTCAACCTTAGTTTTCAAAAAGGGGCCGTTAATTGAAGGCACCTGGGGACACTGCTGAAAGATTCTGCTTCTCAGAAAAGAGGAAGGAATGAAGTTTTCTTCTGTGGTGGTTCTTCTACTAGCTTGTCTGTCTTCTCTTTCTCAGCACCAAATCCTTGCAAAAAGGGGGCAGCTGCTGGAAACCCAGTGCAGCCTGATACATAGATATTTTTCCTTCTAAATAGAAGTTTAAAAAAAAACCTTTTTTTTCAGGTTATACAAATAAGCTCACTGTTAGCCATTTCTATAGCATTTGAATTTTAATATAAAATGTGAAAATCTTTCACAAATAAGCCTTCAAAGGTTAAGTGCAGTTAAATGTTTGGCATATAGTTTTCATATTTTTTTCTGTGTATATTCTAAAATAATTTTTCTTACACATTTTGGGCCGTTTTGCACATTTGAAATGAAACCAGGTGGGTTTTAATTATCAGTATATATAAACACACACATATACACTTATTCTTTTGCTGAACTATTTGAAAGTAAGTTGCAGACATCATAACATTTTACCCTTAAATTTTACCCCTAAATAACTCAGCATTCAACTCCCAAAATATGAGGACATTTTCCTACATAACCCCAACACCATTATCACACCTAAAAAAATCAATAGTACCTAATATGTAGACCATATGTCCACATTTCAGTTTCCCTGAGTTGTTCCCCTAAAATGTCTCAGAACTTTTTAAAAATCCAGGTTCACACATTTCACTTGGTTGTCATATCTCTTTAGTCTATCCTAGTTTAGACTGCCCTTTGGGGTTTTTGTTTGCTTGTTTTCATGGTGTTAACTTTTTTTTGTCAAAAAGTCTAAAGCCAGCTGTCTTATAGAATGAACGACAGTCTAGATGTCCCTGTTTTCCTATTGGTAAACTCAGAACCCTAAGATTGCAGGATATACATTCTTTTCAAATACATGAGACATTTGGTAGGGCCTTAAGAAAGCAAAACAAGACCGGGCACAGTGGCTCAGCCTGTATAATCCCAGCACTTTGGGAGGCCAAAGCAAGAGGATTGCCTGGGCCTGCGGTTTTGAGACCAGCCTGAGAAACTTGGTGAGACCTCGTCTCTACAATAAATCAAACTTTGATCTTTTTAAATAAAAAAATAAACTGGGCATGGTAGCACATGCCTGTAGTTCCAGCTACTTAGAAGGCTGAGGTGGAAGGATCACCTGAGTCCAGGAGGTTGAAACTGAGGTGGCCGTGAGCGTCCCACTGCACTCCAGCCTGAGTGACAGAGTGAGACTCCAACTCAAAACAAAACAAAACAAAAACAAAAATGCCAAACATTTACAGTGAGGGTCTCAGCAAGTGTTAACCTACCAAGACATGTAGCAATAGCTGAAGACATTTTGGTGACTGTGTCTGGTGTGTGTGTTTGATATTAATGGTTTATTTTTTGTGTGTGTATGTCGGCGTCTCACTTTGTCACCCAGGCTGGATCGTGGCTCACTGCAGCTTCAACCTCCTGCTATCAGGCGATCCTCCTTTTTCAGCCTCCCAAGTAACTGGGACCCATAGGTACATGCCACCACACCTGGCTAATTTTTTCAATTTTTGTAGAAATGGAGTCTCGCTCTGTTGTCAGGCTGGTCTCAAACTCCTGGACTCATGCAGTCCTCCCACCTTGGCCTCTCAAAGTGCTGGGATTACAGGTTTGAGCCACTGCACCGGGCCGATTTAGTGGTTTCTAGTGGATAGAGGCCAGGGTTATTGCTGAACACCCCACCCGTATAGTGCCCTGTCGATAGTTAGAAGTTGTGAAACCAGCTCTATTCAAAATCACCCCCTCTCCATAGCACTGGCTGTTCCCCTCACCTGCCTTAGTGGTCTTTGTATCTGGCATGGGAGATATTTTGCTTGTGTGTTTTTTGTCTGTCTCCCCACCATCCCAGATCATAAACCCGAAACCCGTGGGAAAGGAACTTTGTTTTATTCATACCCAGCACTTCCGACAGTGTCTGCAGTAGGTGCTCAGTAAGTCTTTGTTGAGTGATTCTTGCCCAAGTCACGTAGCCTTCCCCACACCATTCCACACTGCCAAATCCTGCCCATTTCTCCCCCAGAGAGCTCTAATCTTTTCCTTCTCTGTATTTCCAGTGCCATCACCCTGAGTCAAGACCCTCATTTTCTTTCTAAACTTTTTTTTTTAAGAGATGGGGTCTCGCTGTTTTGCCGAGGCGGTCTTGAACTCCTGGCCTCAAGCGATCCTCCTGCCTTGGCCTCCCAAAGTGCTGGGATGACAGATGTGAGCCACCACGCCCAGACAAGGCCCTCAGTTTCATTTCCTTGCTTGAAATACTGCAATGTCTTTATTACAAAAGCCTTTTTCTCTTTTGTTTCTGGAGCATAAATCTTTGAACTGCTGAAGACACACAGCATCTCCAGCCTGTCTCCTCACTGCTCATCTGTGTCTCTCATGGGCCTTTAGAGCAAGCAACAGAAGACATCACTGTCTTAGGATTTTATTGGAAGGATATCAAGGATCGGAGGACAGACCAGAAGCTGGAACACCAGAGGGGTAAGAGCAGAAAGCACCACAGATGCAGTTTTGTTTTTTTCCAAAGTGGAAAGCGTTGGTCCATATGCTGGGCTTGGACTGGGGCATATCTTGGCCAAGTGAACTCCCCTGGGTGTGTGTGTGTGTGTCTGGTTTTCCATGCTTTAATTGATTGCTGGAACAGAAGACAGGGATTTTCTCCATGCCAGTTATTAACCTACTGCTTCTGAGCTACAAGTCCACCCTTTCCGTCCTGCCTTGAGAGTCTGAACCTGGACCCTGAACACATTTCTCCTTTGCCAGCTGGTGCAGTGCTAGGTTTTGCAGGGTGCTGGGGTTACGCTGTAAGATCTCGGGGAGTTTCCTGGCACCCAGCGAGAAGTTTA